ACATAATAGTCGGCCTCTGGAGTCATGATAGGGTTGCAAGAACTCATTCAGCCTTAACAACATAGCTTCATTACAGTTTGTGCACATTTGGGTTGTTGGGTCCACAAAATGCTACTTGTGGATAACGACACGACGCACATAACCAAGTCTATGTAGGAGTCTGTACGCTTTCCAAACAGACGTATATATTGTAGTATCTGGCTGTAGCCAGTGTCACTGGTGCTTTTATTACCCAGTTCGTAATAATTTTCATAATTTGCCTTAGTTAGGAATTATATATAGGGTTTTCATCACGAACTGACATCAGCTATAATGCCGAAACTCTATTTAGCTAAATGGATGAAAGACGTTCGCACCAAAATCTGAGATCTGTTATTTTATACCTGATTGATTCGTTCACAAATTATAGTCTTGCTGTTTTATTTGTTATAGCCGCTCAGTTATCACGTTGTGTACAAAATTCCTTGTGAACCCATCGTACGTTAGCATTAGGCACTGAAGTTGGCGCCGTAACCTTGAAATCCTTCAAACGCTTCTGATTGGCTCGTCCATAAATTAGAGTCTCGCCGCACCGAATCGACATCTAAATAATGTAAATTCTTTTTGTTGCATATTGCCAGCAACCGCGATGTCTCTGATTGTGTTTTTCTGTAACTTGTACAGTGAAAAGTTGTAAACTTTTCATAAAGGCACCTGAACAGATTACCTGAATAACAAACATAATGGTGTGTTAAAACAAACAAAAACAACTTGTTGAAATATCTAGATGACAGGAACAGGTAGCCCAAAAGTTCAAGCAGGCCGTCATCATCAGCTGAAACATAGTTCTAATAACACCACAAATATTTGTAGAAGAGACTAGAAACATATTCGATGGTTCCTTCCAACTGGAAGAAAAAACATTAATGCATAAGTTCCTATGATAAAGAAAACAATGTTTATAAGAATTTTGAGCTTACAATGGACACTTATAATCTAGAATTTCATCACTGACCACTTGTAAACATAGTCGAAACTTAACTCGTTTTATCGATATTTAGTAATCCTCCAATTATTAAGGAATTGTCTGTCGATACAACGCGTGTCTACGACCTTACTAAGTTTAACTATCAAGTTAATTTATTTTGAATATCTATTAAAATGTGAAAATACTGGTGAGAAATACAGTCAATCAAAGTTTATTTTGAAGCATATGTTTGACCTTTAAGTTACTGAATACTGGAAAAACAATCTTTCTGATTAAAATGATCTAAAAGTGTCAATTTATTATCATGTGAGTGACAATTTAATTAATAATGGGAAGTAATTCACAAACGAAAATATGTAACTATGTCAGGAAATCGATTCTACTCGAGAATATATACATAAACGATATGTTACATTGTTTCGGGTACGGTGAACATTACTCAAGAATTATGTGATTTTCAATACGATCACGCATTAGCGGTCTGTTGAGGTTCTGTAAAAGGATGAAATTATGAACACATTCTATCTCAAAGACGGATGGTAGCTGGCAGTCAAATCCAGGATTCGCGTTTCGTCCTATTTAGGACTCGTCAGCTGGATACACCTGCATCACAGAGTTGATGTTCACTCCGGGACTCTAACACAGTACCATTCGCTTCAAGCCCCATCGCGTTATCCACTTAGCTACTGTGTTATGACAGCCACTTGCTTGTGTAAAGGGGTGAAGTTTAAATTCATTTTGTATTATTTATTTGAATCTTCCGATTGGTGTTTACAACTGTGATTGATCAATCTCTTATTGATATATGTGCATCCTGAGTGGATAGCCTCGGCATTGCCTTAAATCACAAGTTTTATAAACAAAGATGGATGGTGGCTATTGGTGGAATCCAGGACGCGTATTTCGTTTTATTTGGGACTCATCAACTGGTTACCCCAAAATCCCAGAGTTGAGGCAATCCACACAGGATGTACATATGCCAATAAGATATTAATCAATTGCAGTCCTTGATATTAATGGGAAGATTCCAACAAACAATACAAAACGAAACATTAATTTTAATATTAAATGTATGAGTACAACAATATTATTCCTTTTCTTTATTCACAAATTGTTTGTAAACAGATACAGATACCCAACACCTGTGTAAGTTAATGGGTTCATTGAAGGTACTTGGAATTTACGTTAGGGATTAACATACCGTAAAGTTTGTCAACAAAGATTTATAAGTTATTATTAATTAATAGGTGAAATATGGGTAGTAATAAATAGTTTAACGAATCCCTTCTGTTGGCGGGTCGATTTTTAAATCATGAAGTTTGTACTACATTAACTGATCAAAGGCAGGTAGACGATAAGTAAAATACTTTTCCGAAATATTTACACTCATAACTGACCTCCTACAATACAATCTTAACGGAATCTGATGATATCGTGTGGAGTAAGTTGAATGGAAGTGATTTTCCCATTTCTTCTTTATAAGTCCCATTTTGAGATATACAATCAATATATAAACTTTTTGTTCAACAGGAAGGCCTTCGGACAGTGTAACATGACTATGAAGTAACCGTCAGTATCGAAAAGAGGACTACATTTTGGTATAATCAAATAATGGATTTTTAAGATGTTTAGTAGATTAATTCATCATGTAACCTTGCTGCAGAAACATTTTGTATTGGTTGTTTTAATATTCCCATTGATGTTTAGGACTGCAATTGATCAGTCTCAAATAGAATGAAACGCATGTCCTGGATTCCAGTGCTAGCCACCATCCATTTCTGCTTACAACACCTTTATAGTTATAAAAATAAGGGTAAACGGTAAAATATTTTCGAAACGTTTAACGAGGTTCATCAAGCAGTTTCTTTCACAAAGGAGGAATAAAACTATGACAGCACAAACTTTCTAGACATCATTTGTGACGATCAGATCTGAAAACCTCTATAACGAACTGATTACGATAAGTATAAGCATACAATTTTTAATTACTTTTCAACCATAATACAACCGACTTCCATTTAATTCCTTGATCCCAAAGTTAAAATTGTTAGCTCTTACAGCATCTCCCATTAGCAGTTGAAACACATTAGTGGTCCACTAAGAAAAAGTAATTCACTATCGACATTGACTAACAAACTATATATCCTAAACAAAGCTCAAGTGAATTTACCGATAGTATTAAACTGATCTTTTTTCCCGATACTGATGCTTACAGTGATCTATTACATCTTTCATATACCTCATGCTTATCATGTATTTCTATTGATTTTACTTCAAGTCCTCGTCCATCTGTGTATTTGTGAGTTTGAACTTCCAACATTTTAATTTCCTTCATTCAGCTTTCAGGATGATATTGGTAATGATACACACAAATTCAATCGATTGTTCAACAATGATCCATAATGTCACTATTTGGTTTGTGCACATAAAACAATCTTAAATGCTATGGTCATACTATTGTGGATTATCTTCGAAATATTTCTTGAACGTTCGTATACCAATCACCTTGATAACCATTAATAAATAAATCCCAACAGTATATGGACTTCAGAAGGCAATATGAACCGTTAGTTCCTGAGCAACTTTTTCTAAGCCATAAACAAGCAGCCTCAGAAAACCGGTTTTTATCTTCTTCATTGCTATCATTCGAGCGAGCGAAAACAGGACTGAATGAAGACTCATCTGAATGATTAAGTTTCAAGTATAACTATTTATGGGGAAGCTAATGTTTCGTCAATAGACTTAAGCAACCAACAATCAAGCTAGAAAAATTTCATGCTTCTTTGGACAGCATCATAACTCCCTGAGTGTGTAGAGAATTTTCTTCTTCGTGACCGAAGTACAGCAGCATCTCTACCGAATTTGTTATCTGTTGTCCAGCTTGGGTCTAAGGTGTTCCACTGATTACGAGAACCTCCAAGTTGTATCTTCTTATTTCCGTAGCAATTAGGTTGATCTCCCCGGTCTCCTACGTTGTCTGAACATTGCATGTACCTATGAAAATTGTTGCTCTGGTTGTTAGAAAGGGCATCGGTTAAATGACTTCCGAAGAATCTCGGCTTTCAACAAGAGGTGTCATAATTCTTCTGAAAGAAGATGCTCCAACTCTTAAGGCGGAATTTAAATGATTTTTTCTGGTTAGCGTTTTGTAGAAAGATTGTTTTATAAGGGACGGGTTTGCTGATCCCATACCTAACCTTTTTCCTTTACACGGGCTTGTAACCGGCACTAACCCTAGTGTTAAAAGCTGTTTGAGAGTCACTTGTATGAATGAGAATGGATACTGTGAAGGGAATCTCACCCTAAGATGAAATAACTATCTATTTCTTAACATAAGTTTCTATAGTGAGTTTGATGATGACGTTGTCAAGAACGACAATAAAAGTTCCACAATCAAACTTTGTAGCTCAAAGGACTTAACAAGAACACTAGAAATATGCTTTTATTGTTGTTTATTATTCAAACTATCGTTAAATGAAATGACGGTGAAACATAATTCTCATTTTTATACTTGTATATTTCTGTTGAACCGGCACAGAATGAATTATTATAGTAATTTGGCTTTACAGGTCGTTATGATAACCTTTTTTCTGAGATAATTTCCTAATAATACTAAGAAATGTATTGAGGTTGATATGAATCATATACGAGTACATAAAACTAGTGCCTTATTGTTCGTCGCTGTATTTCACTCGTTTACAACATAAATATCTATAAAACAGTATGTGAACATGTTTCAGGGATGCAAAATGTATGACTTATGTTTCCCACTTAGGTGACTGATAAACGTAGGAACTGTCGGTCGCCAGGTAGAAAAATAAAATTGCATACAATGATTGTGAAAAAAGTATTTTTAAAGACAGAATATAATTACCACTTTTATCTTCAGGAGCGGCTTCATTTTTTTGAACTACTATCGGGGAAGTTAAGTTGATTACCAGTGTTATGGTAGGCCATATCGCAGATTCATTTTCTTTGCAAGCAGGTTTTAAATTTACTTCACAGGTGGCTCATGATCGTGGATTGATTGAAGTTAGACATTAACACCGTTTGTTCCCATAGTAGGCTCTGCTGTGACAGTATATTGAAGACCGGGTTCCAGTGACTGTATGAAAAAAATCAAGCCAACATATTCCAAATCACAACCCAAGATCGATACCACCTTCAGGTTCATTGAAAATATCTCACAATAAAGAGATTTCTGAAGTTCACCCTAATGTAATGAACCTGCAGGATATATCGACTAGGGTTTTCGGAAAATTCTTGAAAACTTACAAAAAACTAATCATAATTTGGGTAGTCTAACATAGATCTAATACACCTTTAACGAACGGGCTAAATTATACTTACCAAATGTCTAGTAACTATATTTGAGAATATTAGCGCAGAGTTTTTCTACGACAAAGTAGTAATTTTTACCAATGATCACACTTGCTGCACAAGTCTAATCCCGCAGATCCAATTATTTCATAATGACAATACATAGTTAAAGATAATATGAATGTTTAACTTTTATAAATACAGTTTATTCTGTATTACATAACAACTTAGAATTGATTGTTAGGTTGACCATGTGATTGAATGTAGATCTATCCAAATTGCAAACCCACCTTAAGTAAGTTTTAATCATCAAATGACTTCAGACCAAAAATTAGTTTTAGATAAATGTCAGCGACAAAACTGTCACATATATTATTAATGAAGGTATTTAGTGTGCGAAAAACTTTATGAAAAGAGATTTAAAAAGATAATCCATTCTAGTCAGTAAAGATAGTATCAAGTCACTCATAAGGAATCTCATTATCTAGATTACTATACGAAAGTCAATAGTTCGACCTTTTTTTATGACATGTAGATTATGCACTATATAATACAGTGTAAAGCAAAGTATGAAATGAACTCCATCCTGTATTGATAGCTTATTAAATGCTTTCCAGGGAGATAGGATAGAGGAACATGGGGGTTGGAAAACCCTGAGCCTAAACTAATTGAAAGCAATGATTTGTCACCCAAGGGAATCAATCGTGCATGAAATCGCTGTGGTTCTCGGATACTAAGCAATTTCCTTTAACGTTGCTTTACTACCTTGTGCGCTAGATTTATTAAATTGAAAATTTAAAGGACGGTCTACTCGAACAGTACACAAGATCTCAAACTATAATAAAAAATAAATACTTTTTGGTACCCCAGTGTCAGCAATTAGAATTATGATTTACATTTGATGGTTAAGGTTATGAATTAGATTCAGGGTTTTCATCACGAACTGACGAAGGCTAAAAGGAGAAAACATTATTTAGTAAAATAGATGAATGAATTTCGCACCAAAATCCAAGACCTAATTGGTTCGTTCATAAATTATAGTCTCACCATTTCTATTTATTTAAAGATTTATACATTATATCGTTAAGTAAGTTTAATCTAAGAAACATAAGTATATTCCATATTACATAATCTATCCAAATCAATATTGATAAGTTCCTGTTGTTCGAAGAATAATCACATATGAGCTAAAAACATTTATGTTAAACATATAAATGATAACTGTATATTATGAGTAAGTTTAACGACCTCTCAAGTCAAGTATTACTGAAAATCACTGGTAACTAGTTGGCATCAAAAACTCTATTTGAAGTTAATAATAAGTCTCATTAGTAAGTATGATATCATTAATCTATTGAATTAATTGTTTATCGATGACAATGAATGATGGTTTTGTCATAGTGTGGTGTATGCTACTTATGTGGACAAATATAAGTAGTATGTAACACCAATCAGAAGTGAAATATCTGACAGCAGAAGATTAAAAAGATCAAACTGAAGAGAAAAGGAACACAAACAGAGAGTATTTTTTATAACAGCAAGAATGAAGGAATGATGAAGTTTGTAAGAGACAATTGATGAGAGATATGCGAATGAAGTATTCAATGTATGGTTTTTATTGTTACGAAGACATTCCATAATTTTGTATTAAACAATAAATTGGTCTTCCCATTAGAGTATTCGTTAACTACAATAGTACAACTATTTGTTAGCTTGATTTTCTCCAAACAAAACTATGTCATCAGCATATTCTAAGTCAACAAGTGAACCTCCCGGTAGAAGTTCAACCCCTGGAAATCTAGACGAGGAAAAATATTGTTATACAAATATTGTGTAGGTGCAGAGAGAAATTAAACAATTCGTATTGTTTGTCAATTGTTTTCGGTGACTACTGTTGCAATATATATATACTAATTCTTATGTTTGCATTTTAAAAGATCGGGGTATACAAATATTTGTGTTTAAGAAAACAAACAGCTTCCAGTAAAAACTTATTCAATGATAAGTTATCAGAAAAGTGATATTTTAACAAAAAAACACATAGAGCAAAGTAAACTAACCTCCATTAATTTTGTAATACTAGTTGATACATAAGTTGTTAACTCTTTAGTAGGCCATTTAGAACATATTAAAACTAGTTCTGCTGAATGTTCACCCCTTAAGAGTACATTTTTTCCCAATGCACCAACACGAACAACACCACAAAGCAGACGTTCACCAACTTTTTCTTCCAATTCATCCAGATTATTATCATCAACACAAGATTTAGCACATATGGTGGTATCAGGAAGATCTGATGCTGAACGCGCCTGTTTTAAAAGGTCGTTACTAACGCCTTTCAAGGAGCGCTCACAAATCGTTACAGCCAACATCATTGCCTTAATGAAGAGAAGACAAAAGTCACAAATTAACGTGGACTAAAAAGAGAGCTACTCATACTAACGGGCCGCTTAGATTGATATGGATGAAGTGGACTAGAAACCTGTGACTCAGTTATAGGAAGTTTTCATTACCGAACTGTCGAGCTTCATAGCTCAACTGGTGGTGTAGTTCAGGGAAAATACGGAATCTTTGGAAAAGAAATAGTGCTTGATACATTTCTTCCGTTTCCAATTAAATTTAAAACTCTTATTTAGTAAAGAAAATAAACGAATTCTAAATACGACATTGACCAATTAGTGATCAGTAATACACTACTAAGGTCGTATTTATGACCGAATGCTATCAGATTTTTCATGTTGAAATGACTTAACTAAATGCAACTTAAAAGTATTAAATAACATGATATAATTGCTCCTGAAATATCTCAATAAGTTTGTAAAGGTGAAACAATATGATAAAATTACGCCATTTCCTGTTAAAAAGGAAAGCCCACATATTACTATTACTCTACATAGTGATAACGTCTTCGATAGTGGAATTGGATGAGAGATCTTGGTTTCTAAAGTTTAAGTATGGTCTGCATATCAGTGTCAAGCAATATTATATATATATATATATATATATATATAATCAGTACACCGATAGAAAAAATATAAGAATATTTCAATGGACAGACCAGCAGAACTAAGAACTAATACACAAAAGTAGAAATAAATTTGGACAAACGTTTCATAAAATTAATGTATCATATACAATGGTAGTACCGTTTCGCCAATGTATGAAACTTCCCAAGCTGTCGGTAGCAAAGATGTATGCTTAGAACTGATGTACCTGCTTTCTAGAGATTTATTAGGAGTTTGAGTCGTGTATATTCGAGGGACTTGTGCAGGAAAACGGTCATATAATATCTTACTGATTGTACAATGTCTTTTAACGTACATAACTAGATAAAAGCTACAAATGAAATTGACCACGTCTAGTATTTTGTTTCTGAAAACGTATAAAATTAATGTAATAAATTGTCTTTAATTAAGGATGAATGAAGTAGTATAAACCAAGTTACCAAAAAGATGTTTTGGATCGCAAAATGTTTTTAACAAGACTCAGGGCGTAAAATCTTAGTATTATTAACGTATGAACAGTTGGCTTTATTATCCAAGTAGTTTAAATATATGATCACTTTTGATAAATTGTAAGGGGGATAATTATAAATACTTAAAGATAAGTGATTAATTGACTAGCTTTTACAAACGTGTGCTCAATTAATCTAGAACCATACCATTCATCCGCTTTGTGAATTATTTATTTGGTTGTCAACAATGCGTTTTTGTAATCCGATTAGTTAAAATCCATACAGTATAAACGGCTTTGACTCGATGTTGCCATTTGAACAGGCATGGTTGTTTTGCTATTCTCTGTATAACGCTTAATTAGATTTTATGAAATCTCGAATATTAATGTTTTTTTTAAACTATGATTAAAAATCATCGAAACAAAGCAATATGTATTTGTATGATATATAATTGGCAAGCGTAAAGAATAGTTGTGAAACATTCTTTTTTATAAAGTATATCAAGTGACCAATATCTATTTCTGTGCAGTACTAACATTTGAATACGTAATATTATACTGTTACAAAAGACTTATTGCGATTGATGAATTTCCTTCTTAAAATCACGGATTGATTTTAAACAATAATCGGGAACCAACAGTGTCTTATATACAACTTTCATTATGATCAATCCGTGATGTAGTCTGTGAAACCCAAAGCTTTCCACAAATCTTCTGTAATAATAGTAATCATGTGCTCATCTAATGACTACTTTCAAGAGGTAAGCCTCGGAGTTCTAGTGGAAAGCCGAGTCCAATAATGCCGGGAATGGAGTAGTTATCCATCGACCGCATTGGAAGATGGGGTCCGCAATATCGTGTACATACTAAAACTAAACATCTAAGCCATTGTGCGCCGAACCAGTGGTTTAAAGGTTAAGTGTTCACCGCGAGGTCCATGGATTCAATTTTTGGAGGGGTCGCAAATGTTTATTGGTGAGGAACCCCATTCTAAGATTAAATAGCTGTCCATGGTTTTTGGTTCTCAATCGACGTGAAGCTAAGATCAGTTAGTGATGCAAACTATGAAATAATATATTGAAAAGTAAAGTTATAGAAGTAATTATGATTTATCAGTCAGAAAAATATACTAGTAAACTTTCGGAATATAAGAAGACAGTAAATACTAATGGTCTAGACAGAGTAAATATTGTTAGTAAGAGAAAACTATGAACCCACTGGTTCGTTACGTCTCGTCTTCTTTTCTTTAGCTGCTATCACTTTTCGACGAAGTTGATTTCCAGGATTTGGATCGACAACAAACGATGGATCGACTTTCTTTTTGTACTGTTGACGATGACGACGACCACGTAAATGACATTCACGAGAATCTGGATTTGAAAATTCACAATCACATAACTTGCAACGATATTTAACAGTTTTGTTGTTGCTATTAATAATCTGATTGGAGAGAAATTTTTTCGAAAAGGAGAGAAAAGCGGTAAGTGAATTATGACTTAAAGGTTATATCTCAAGACCAATAAGATTCCAACAAACCCTTGACAACTTTATAGTTTGTAGAAATCTCAGTTTTGTATGTTAACATTTTACAATATCCTTTATCAAATTAGTCAGTTATACACAATCCAGATACCTGGCACAAATGTGCATCCACTTAAATTGCCACACCGCAACCTCATTAGCACAACGAGATGAGCAAATTCCTGAGTAGTAGAGGTGTGGTGTGTGCTGCTTATGTCGACATAAGTAGGACAACGCCAATCAGAAGGTTGGGAAGATTGAATCGAAGAGAACGGGAACAGAGAGTGATTGTTGCGACAATGAAGGAACGATGGAGTTTGAGACAATTGATGGAGGATTTGCAAATGTATTGAATGCATGGTTTTTATATTTTACGAAAGAACTCAGTAATTTTGTATTCTAATACATTTGGTTGTCTTCACTTATGTTCTCGTTCATTACAGAGGTAGTAACAGTATTAGTAGTAATAAAAAAGGATTGCGCATCGAGGATAAAACTCGAGGAAATATGGATTAGTGCAATAGTAAAAAAATTATATGGTAATTTAAAAATTTGGGATCTAAAAAGAGATAAAGAGTGAGTGAATCAGAGAGATCGAGAACGATTTTGAGCCATATCATTCAAACTCTCTAATAGGTTCAACTGTCTGACTCTATCTGGAATGGTGAATGGAACGAGCGATATAATATAAACCTTCCACTTAACCCCGTTTGGGTGACAGCGATGAGAAAAACCAAATACAAACTAAACATTCATTTGTGCAGACAAATGGTAAGAAGTGAAGGTTTCTCAGACTACTTAATCAAAAAATGGCTCAATATTTATAGCCATGAAAGATATAAACAACTGTACAGATAGATACGTACAATCATACACACACGCTCAAGGTCGCATATATGAATGACTAGGAAGATTAGGATATTTTTCAAAAGTAAGGATAAATCGTTCAGGAGTATAACAAAGCTAGTTGCTATACTCTAACCGCCAGTAACGATAATTATGCGGACCCCAACCAAATAGTCTAAACTTACCTACATGACTCAAGTTCAGTAATCACTGTCTTCATGGATCGATATCATGTATTGGTTTGGCCGCCCATAACTTCTTTTCAATCTACTCCAACATTGGTCGTCATCACATGTCGACACAGACGGTGGATGGGGACACACAAGTCAAATTAAGAATGTACTTCATGATGAAAACAGCAGTTCTGTACGAATCATGTCAACTGCTGAGGTTTGGTACTACCTTCGAGTGTTTTATTTTACTTAACTTTAAACCAGACATTCAGAAAACACGTAATTAAAAGCATAATAATGTATATTACATAAGCTCTTACAGTTTCTAAATACTCTTGTCCAACAGCAGGTAGTTCAGGACCAGCAAGTTGTTTTAAATCAATATGTTTCATAAACGTGTTTTCCGTAGGATTTGTTTTATTTTCATCCGCTTCAACTGTAGTAAAGATAAAAAATGTATTCTGTAGTAATGAATGATAAAGAATATCAAAACTTGCGGAAGCAACCCATTTAAAGTTAATCGTAGTAAAAACTGAAATTTATTTCAGCGGTACCAGAATATGAAAATGAAATCGACAATGATACACTGTTTCGTCTCATTTAATTAAAGTAAATAATCAACAATAATGAGTCAAGCAAAATCACGTTTCCTTCACACAGACAGAATAAGAACTCTCACCTCAAAAATGCTTTGTGAAATTTCTAACAAATATCTTAAACGAAGGTACAATTTAACAATTTAAGTTAAGCAATGACTAGTGAACACTGTGAAGTAGCGGATTCAAAGAAATGGGGAAAAAATAAAACCGTAAACAACCTGCGAAAATCTAAAAATCCTCACCTGGTTTAGCATCGTCAGCGGCAGTGGCAATCATATCTGCCACAATAGCTGGTACAAGGGGATCATCAGTTTCTGGAATTGGTTTCCCCAATTCCTTGTGTAACTTGAGCGTACGTTGATGCTGTCTACCAGATAAATGGGCAGTATAAGAGTCGGCACCGGTGCAACCAACATCACAAAGCTCACAACGTAATTCTCGTGAAGCTGAGTTAATAATTAATGATGAACTTCCATCGGTAGAGACTTCCTGTTTTAATTTTTCAATCGCTTCAACCTAACAGTGAAAAATGATAAAAATAAGAAAACGACTCATGTTAAAATGATATTAAATCAACTATTCATAGTATTTTATTCATGGGAAGACAACGAATTGAGACCCAACAGTTAGTTAATGTTTTAAATTTGGCAGTTGGGAATACTAGCTTTAATTCATGCACCTGGATATTGTAATTCCGTTATTGACTAACGCGATTAAAGTCGATGATTATACACGAGGATAAGTGACATATATTTCAACAACAATCATCATTACGATCTACATGGAGTCAGATACGCGGGCCACTAAACTGGTGAGCCCTTTCGACCACATCGTTCGATCTAAATGACGATTAAATTACGGGCCCCCACTAAGTTGGTAAGCCCGCCGACGACGAACAAATTCAGCGAAGCCAGCGCAATCTCCAATCCGACGCAATCAGCAAAGCCTGTGCAACATGACATGGACATGTTCAAGTCGTATTATCTTATCGATACTCTGTCCTCATGTCAACTATTCTCATTGATCCATTTGTCGGATCGTTCCATTACGATTCAAATTATCATTATATGCTTATTATTACATTATTGTCAATATCATGACCGAATGTGGATTTATTAATCTTGTTCGTGCTGTCATTAAATTATGACATTTTCGCAATCATATCACCCACCGAACAAATTATCATTTTATGAACATTCCATGTTATGATATTCAGAACCCATCGGGATATTTTTACTATTCAAAAACGTGAAATTTTCCTGCTTTAAGTGAGTTCGTTCCAATTTTTTCCATATCATTTTGATCTAATATTACATTCATTCACTTAGTCGAGGTCATTATTTTATGTTATCATAACATACATTTTTCATTTCAAAATCGCCTCCTATTATGTCTGTGGATGCCTCTAACTAGCTGATTAGTAACAATTACGTTCATTTTATCTATTTGTCCATATGTATAACCACATGCTGCATCATTCATCACCCAAATACATTCAAGTAATGCAACTACTATTCTATTCCCATCGCACTGTATATCAGAACATAGAGTTTAGAGCTGGTCTCTCAAAGATACACTCTTGTTCGCCACATCCAAGTCAGTCTCATACGTCGCCATCGCTGATCATGTGTATTGGTATTTTTGTCATGCCTCGGTACGGTCGACTGCATCTCCCTCAAACCACACAAACCACTCTAGACTTCACGACCAAAAAGGAATACGACTCTACGTACCTCGTCTACTCAGTCACTATTCTGTTCCTCTGGTTATTCTACTAATACATATTTAACGATAACTCAATGCATCTGTCATAACGCAGACGACAACGTTCACTGACTTCACAATTTATGATCATTATCAATTGCAGTACAGCAACGAATATCACCCGTCGATGCAGTTATCATATCACGACTTGACTATTATTATCCTACGAACGGGAACTACGTATTTAAATTCGAATTCACTCATCGTTAGTCGATGCTATTTACTCTACTTCGGCTCAGGAGAACATATATTTAACATATTTCACCATTTTGTCGGCACCACAGACCAATTTCTGTCGTATTTTACTTTACTTATCTTCATGATTTGTTTCGCTGTCATACTGTTAGCGGGACATAGACTGAATTAAAGCATGCACAATGCATGATTGCTTTGGTGCACGCTGACTGGCTAATCCTTATCCAATCAGCACTAGCCGATAGTTGGAGAATACTCTAGAATCTTCTCATGTAAAAACTATAAACATACTAACGTTTTCTCTATTGTGCCTCTGACTTGCTTCTTCCATCTAACCTTGTTATTTGGAATATAATCTCTTTCCTGTTCAACCGTGTTCTGATCTGGGGTCTTGTCGAGTGATTTGGTGTCCAAGATTACTAAGCAATAGGAATGGCTGGGTCATACCGTAGAAAGAGATTACAACACATACCCACAAACAATTTATTACTATTTTCACGATAATTTGAATCACTCATACAAACTTGTTATTTTATCGTCCAGACAGTCATAGTATTTGTTAGCGGGACATAGACTAGATTAAAGCATGCTCAATGCATGATTGCTTTGGTGCACGCTGATTGGCTAATTCTTATCCAATCAGCGCTAGTCGATAGTTGGAGAATATTCTGGATTTTTCTTATGTAAAAACTATAAATATACTGACGTTTTTCCCTATTGTGCTTCCTACTGGCTTCTGACTTGCTATTTGGAATATAATCTTTTTTCCTGTTCAACCGTGTTTTGATTTGGGGACTTGTCGAGTGAATCTGTGTCCGAGAATACTAAGCAATAGGAATAGCTGGGCCATCAACCGTAAGAAAGCAGAGTTATAACAGTGGCGACGGGGATGGGAAACGAACCCACGCGGGGAAACCCCAATGGATTAGCATGACGTACCCAAACTTCCGAGCCAACTGACACCTCGTAAACCACACTCCCCTTCTTTTTCAAGATCCGACCAGCTGTCCATGTAGGATGTTTCCCACGATAGTCCATAGCAAGCACTTTTTGTCCCACCGTGAACAATCGTATTTGTGCCCCATGATGTCGGTTAAACTGATTCTCCGTCGATAGGTTTCGTTGGGGTTCAATAGCTGGCGTAGGACGGATGACATCGAAATGTGTTCGTATTTTTCTTTTCGGTTTTCCTAGTAACCTATCACCTGTCTTCTTTGGAAGTAATGGGGTGTCCAATGATGAACACGATACGTTACAGACACTGTTAATTGGTATATCCATTATTCCAAGTTTGTCTAGCATATCTAGACCAAGAAGATCAAGGTTCGGCCGTTCTGTTAGGTAACATATTCCTGTACAGCTAGTTCCATTGAAGGAAAATTCACACTGTAATTCACCAACCTGTTTTAGCACACCACCTGATGCGTTTTTAGCCGTTTTCTTAGATGGCTTCATTGGCGGTTTACCCAGCAAGTTATACGTTTCTCTAGACACTAACGTGATATCTGATGCCGTGTCAATTTGAAGACGAGCTGATATGCCGTTTATCTGGATGGTAACATACTTTCTCCGAATGTCATAGTTTGTTTGAAAAGCAGCTACCAGAGAAAGAGATTTAGACTCGGCTGATTTCACATGTCGAGGACGTTTATGCTTCTTCTTAGGCTGAGACGTACGCTTCGGTGGACAATGACCTTCTTTATGTCCACGTTTGTTGCACTCCTGACATTTATGCTTCTTGAATGGACAGAATCGTGCATAATGCCAATCACCGCATAACCAGCATGCAGTCCTTGGTTTGTTACGAGTTGTTACCGGCTTCTGAACTTTTAACCTAGTAATAGTATTTACACTACCGCAGGTTAAATTAGGATTTACCTGTTCAATCAACTCGTTGTCGTGTCTGATGCTTTGTAGACGCTTACACTCATCTGTCAATGTTCTGAGTGTGACGTTTGGGTCTTGATCCAGTCGAGCTAAAAGTCTCGTCCTGATCTCAGCATCTTGTGGTGACTGAAGAGCTTTGATGAATATTAAGCATTTAAATTGGTCATCAGTCAACGAGCGTAACTTGAAACGTTCACATTCTCTGTTGACAATGTCTGCTAGAACACCATATTCATCAGCTTCGCGTTTCACCAAATTTAGACACCGATATCGAATACTAAACAACGAGGATGACTTGCCGAATATCTCTGACAACTGAAATACCGTCTCCTCGAAACTGAGCTCTCGAGGTAACTTTGGCAATATATGGTCAGCAAAACGTGCATGTTCACTGCTTCCCAACTTACGTACCAACAATCGGGTCTTCCACGCATCGTCTTGGTTACAGAATTCTGTTCTAAATGTATCTTCCCAACGTTTGAACCACGTGAGAAAAGTATTTCCACTTTCGGGATCATAGATGAATTCTGGGATGCTGCTAGCAACTGCATCACAAGACGTACTTGAAATAGCATGTGAATTCGAGCAATGGATGTTAAGCTGTTGAGTCAGAGTCTCCAACAACCGCATTTGTGCATCAAGTTGTGCTTGCTGTTGTTGTAGTATTCGGTTAAGCTGGTCATCTGATATGGGCATCTCGAATTTATTTATAACAGTGGCGACGGGGAAAAACTAAAGAAAAATGGCGATTTCTTTAGAACAGTTGCGGCTAATATTACAGCACCAGCAGAAGTTGTTAGCCTTGCAACAACAACTATTGAGCACACTTTTCACTCGACCAGAAAATAAGAAATCTGTTTATGATGCAGTAACAGACATTTCAGAAGCATATCTAGTGGAGGGTTCAAATCCCTTTATACCTGAATCAGAACGTAATATTTGTAACGTTTCCGGCTCACAGCAAGAAAATCCTGTGCTGAATGCTCATAAAGTTGTGGCAATACGAGATTATCAAGAGTCAGACCCTGTAGATGAAGCCCGGAGTTCAGAATTGAATGAAGCACTACTGGTCCTGTCTAGCTCTGAAAATAACTTTCAGCTAGAACAAATTTATGGTCCACGTGATATTAACCAAGAAAGCTATGGGGACTCGTATTCAGAAAATAACTGCAGTGACACAACGAACCCAATTATACCGAATGTTACTCAAAATCATTGTGAGACAGAAACTTATATTGAATCAGCTTATCCGATTTCTAATGACAATGTATCAGACATGGGTTCTCAGAACAATGCATGTTATTTTGTTGAAATTTCTCATAAAAATCAGGAAAATATATCAGCTGAGTCAAATTATGGTCAAAAGTCTAATTTAATTTTGTTAGATGATGATTTCCGTAATGATCCATTATCCACTGATGAAATTCCTAATGGATTTGAAAGTAATGCTTCAGAAGAATTAAACTTTGACCTCAAATCAAAGGTCGTTCACTATCATCCAGTCGTTTCTAGTGGATCCGACATTCAATGCGAGAAACGTCGTTTAAATAAAGTCCTATTATTTGTAACTTGGAGATATAAGGATCCGACATTGTTTCGAGGAGGAGGAGAATGTTGGAGAATTAAAAGTTATGCATACTTTTTTTTAAGAAAAATCAAAACGCCGGGAACAGACATGTCAGTCTCTGTGCAAGGAAAAAGTGATAATTCTTCATTGCCTAGACGATGGACTAATTGAAAGCACAAGCCAGTCACTCAGTTGCAGTTGGACCCTAGCACCAGATCCTACGAATCTGCTCAGAGGGGAGGTGTTAGCGGGACATAGACTAGATTAAAGCATGCTCAATGCATGATTGCTTTGGTGCACGCTGATTGGCTAATTCTTATCCAATCAGCGCTAGTCGATAGTTGGAGAATATTCTGGATTCTTCTTATGTAAAAACTATAAATATACTGACGTTTTTCCCTATTGTGCTTCCTACTGGCTTCTGACTTGCTATTTGGAATATAATCTTTTTTCCTGTTCAACCGTGTTTTGATTTGGGGACTTGTCGAGTGAATCTGTGTCCGAGAGCACTAAGCAATAGGAATAGCTGGGCCATCAACCGTAAGAAAGCAGAGTTATAACAGTATTAGTACATGTAAATTTTTTGTACGCTCATTAATTTGCTCATATTCGCATGCTAACGTTTCCATTTTTGTCCGCGCCTTTGCGATATTCATGTATTCTTTTACATAAGTGTGACATTTTCATAGAATACAATCGCCGCTCATGTGACACTGTACTTTACCGAGTGTTGTACAATTTTTTTCGCTACTTATTGTTAACGTTAACTACACATCACTTTAGTGTTATTTTCGAAAACAGACATTTTTTTTAATGTGCTATTTTCTACAAGGGGGCTATGTAGTGTCAGTTATTATGTTAAAGCCCACATACCTTATTCTAGCTTTCGGACATCTCATTCTATTCATTCTACTTGAGTCGTATTTTGACCTTGTTAATTATTCGCTTATCAGTCTTGACAGAATAACGTGGTTTCCAAATTATTTGACATCGGCACTAGTAGTTGATAAATTTCATGCAATTGGTTCCCTTTATGAATTTAAATAAAGCAAGAACAAATATTGGTGCAGAATGATATGAATTCATATTATTTCGAGGTTTCTCGTCAACTGCTTACAAACCAAAAATGTGATAGAATTTTTACATTGAGATAGAGTGAAAACAATTGACGTAGATGAGTGTAAATAACTGGGTTACAATAATAACTATAAATGTATATATATGCTAGAACAGGTCAGAGGTCAAAAGGAATTAATTCAGGTTGGGTGGTGTAATAATGGAATTGAATAATCATGAGATAGGTTACGTAATAAAAATTAAATAGGATTTGAAAAGTTAAGATAGTTTAAGAGGATCAGGTGGTGGAAATGTGTGAATAATAATGTGGTTTAAGAATTATGTAATAGGGGAGGAGTATAAATATTTTAAAATAAATAAAATTTAAAAAAAGGGTTACCAGGGTAGTGATAAGTTAAAGTCTCTTTTTGGATGCATAAGTCAGGTTTAAGTTTTTTTTATCATGATGGCTTCAGCAAAACGGAGGGTGGTCGTACTTCTTTGTCTATTGATAATTTTGAAAGCATGCGGAATGTCGATGGTGTGCCCGGTGTCAAGTAGATGTCGAGCTATTGCGCTGTTGAAGGCCTTATTCCCTCCCAGCCTCAAGTTTTTTGGAACATGCTCAGAAATGCAGACATGCACTCTTCTCTCAGTTCTTCCAATGTATGTGCTTTGGCACGTACATGTGAACTGGTAGATGCAGTTGGAGCAGTTGTCGAGTTTTTGTACAAATTCGAAACTATTTTTTAGACTGTAAGGTGTTAGTTTCTTTCGGATTGGTTCAAGGCACTTTGTCAGCCAGCGGGCGAGTTTATGGAAAGGCGAATTAGCCATGGATAATATTATTCTAATCGGGATATTGGGCTTGTGAGTTTTGGGTAGGCCGTATAAGTATGGTAATTGTGATCCTTTAGGTTTAAGTTCATTGTATGTATGATTATCTATTAGATTTTTCTTTAGGAGATCTCTCAAAATCGTTTGCAATGGCGCAGGTGCATACACTCTTTGTGTCCTCCCAAATTTTGATCTACTTATTCCTCCTTGTCTTTTTTTTCTCTTTCCAAATTTATTTCACTGTACTATACTCTTTAAATAACATCTCCAAACACTAATTTTCCTGATTGCTGCTTATACTCTTATTACCTCTACCACTACGGGATTTGAATCGGCCACTACATCTGTGTGCTAATGTGGTGTGGCAACTTGAACTGATGTACGTACGTACGAACTTCTACGTTGTTACTGACTGACTGACTCTCAACTTATTTACAAGTCGCTTCTCTGTCCTCTCTGTTAAATCTTTCTGGGTATTATCGATGATAAATCTAGTGGAATCAATTAAAGTAGACATTATTTTGCTAATGTATTTATCTCTGTTAATAGCGACTACACCGGAACCCTTATCTGGACGAAGTAGCATTATTGTTTCATCTTTCACAAGTTTTTTCAAAGCTAGTTGGTGATCTTTAGTTTATAAGACTGTTAGGAATGTTAATTATTATATTCTAGATAGGTCAAATTATGGTTTTCAAGATTACGCCTGTAATACGGAACATGTGAAGGTAAATGCAAAAGACATATTCAATTGAAATGATGACAATAAATCTTGAAGCTTGTAAAGAACTACTTGATATGAATGATAGCTTACAATCACCTATGTTTAATTGCATTAAGAAAGCAATTCAATTAAAAACAATAAATAAGTCAGACAGTAATTGTAGGACAAACTTACCTGGGACAATCTTTTTTTGTGGCGTTGACCAGATTCATGGTCTTTGAAGGCTAGTGGACCTGCACAACTAACTTTGCAAATATCGCAGTAAAAAATGGATGGTTCTTTTGTAGTTGTCGTCGTACCGGCAGTATTAGCAGTGTGAGTACCTTGGTTGGGGCGATTTCGAAGACCTATTAAAAACAATATCAAAATCATATTTCTATCTTGTCGAAAGAGAATTCAACATGATTTGTGTAAACAATGAATGCAACTGACGATCTGTGAAGGTTAATTATTCTACACTACTTGTTATTGATGGAGTTTTTCACTGAGCTGGATGGTTTGATCATGTTATAACACAGGATCATACATAAAAGGTATATCAGAAACCACAACGAGACTGCTGAGAATCTTCGGAACAGGTGTTGCACACAAACCAACAAAACCACTACAATCAATCCTATGCAAACGAAAGGATAAAATATGAAAAAATAAGACAAACCAAACATCATCTACAAAATGTGCCAGCTGCGAAAAAAACACGACCAAACCATCCAGCTCGGAGAACAAAACCCCATCAAAATCATCCTGAGCTACAAATCTTTGATGTTATTTCTCAGCCTACAATTATTTCATCCATAGAATGTTAAGCCACAAAATATCACAAAATCATGTGGTAATTAGGTTAATGAGGATGCTCTAAACATCCAAAGCCATTGCACTCCTCAACGTTAAACAAATTCAAGATAAAACACTAGACTTTAGTCTATTCAAATCCGATTATTATTTACGCATAAAATCTTACTTCCTCTATTTCCCTTGAAAGGACCAGGAGTTCTAACACGCCCACGATTCTGAAACGTAGAGTTCTCAGGAGTTCTATTGTAATGAACTGGAATCCCAGTATATACCGACTGGGGTGTTGGATTAGGTTGTGAAGTGTATTTTTGAATATCAGTGTAGAAGTTACTAGCTGAGGAATTTAAGGTCATCCAGCTAGGAATCTCGGGAGGAACACGAAAACTAAACTGATTCTGATAGTCAAGGACTACGTTGCTATTTTCATTGATTTCAGAGGTTATTGGTAGTTGTTCTGAAAAATTAACACAAGTTTCTTCTGTGGAAGGCATTATCCCAGGTCTGCTGTAATACTGGGATGGACAAAGCGAATATCCACTGTCACTCCGAAGAGGGGGTGTAGACTGAAAATCTTGAGGTGGAACTTCAAAACTATAAGGCCTGGGTCCAGGTCTTTGAACAGCATTTCCTACAAAGTTGAAAAGAATAAAGTTTCACGTAGTCTCAGTATTAACTTAAGAAACAAAAGCTATGTAATCAATATCACAAAGCCAAATCAATTAGTGTTTTTCGTACTATACAATAATCATAAAGCAAATACTGTTGGTCGTGAATATATAACAAACAATCAGACAGTGTGGGTAATCATTTTAACCGAATGAAGAACTCGTACCAATTTGCTGATTAAAACACTACGTTAGAAAGCTAAATAGTGAGACGTAATTAAGCAAAAAGACAGAAAAGGTGAGCTGAGTGGTGGTAAGTACGTTGATAAATGTGTATTAATGCCTACTAAACTACTATACTAGGTAATAAAACGTTTGATCTGAAATATTTTTCTCCCTACGGCATACTATGATAATGCAGTAATGCGATAAGGCTGGTGTTCGAATATATACTACCGCTGGACTAGATACCTGATCGATACGCTATGCACAGGCTAGGTTGTCACAGACACAATTCACGACCAAAAATAGAGAAAAATAATGCTAGATAATACTTTATTCAACACAAGTCACTCTCAGTGAGTCCGGGGTAGAAATCAATAACAGGAAAGGAAGTCATATTTTTTAGTTAGTAAGCCGTGCCTACTTGGTTTAATTTATTTATTCAGGGTCTCTAACCATCGGTTGTTATCATCTCGCGGTCCCCAACCAGGTAGTCTACACCTACCAACATGACTCAGTCCACTTGTCAGTGACTTCATGGACTTGTGCCATGTTTTGGTCTGGCCTCCCCTAGCTTTTTTCCAACCTACTCCTATACCACTGAACATCGCACGTCGAGACAGTCGGTCGTTGGGCATACGTAACACATGTCCCAGCCATCTCAACTGATGAAGTTTCACGTCATCAATTGACTTGCCATTCTTACCTAGTACCCGTTTCCTAACAACTGCGTTACTTACTCGGTGGTCCCAGGATATAGGAGCAATGTTTCGAAGACACCTATGATCAAATACTAGTAACCTACGAATATCCTCTACTCTTACCGGCCATGTTTCACTGTCATAAAATAGGACGGAACGAACTGCTGCACAGTCCTTTGGTTGATAGACGGATATCTCGCCTACGCCATAAATGACTCAAGTTGGCTAAAGCTAGTCGAGCCTTCTGTATCCCTGCTGAGACTTCGTCACACACCAGACCACAAGGGCTGATGAGACTTCCAAGATAAGTGAAGCGGTCGACACGCTTAACTATTTCACTCCCTATCATTAGTTCAGGTGTCAATGCAACCCAATCCTGAAGCAACATTTTGCATTTCGAGGGAGGAGAATCGCATCCCGAACATGCTTGCATTGTTGCTTAGTGGTCAGAAGACTGTATTTTGTCAGTCTTCACCAGTAAGAATTCCAGTTAAGGGTGGCCAAACCAGCCAAAACGTGGCATCAGTCACTATTACTACTACTAATACTACTACGACCACTACTACTACTACTACTACTAATACTACTACTACTACTACTACTACTACTACTACTACTACTTCTACTATTACTACTACTACTACTACTACTACTACTACTACTACTACTACTACTACTACTACTACTATTACTAATTCTTTCTTGCTGTACTATATCTTTATACACAAACATTCTTTTATATATTACTACCATTGAATTAACTACTTCTATGAATTCGATGTTCATGTTGTATTGCTAATGAGGTATGGCGACTTGGATCAATGCACATATGTGCCTGGTCCTACATTGTAGCTGACTGACTGACTGAACATAACGACATGTCTACGCGCTAATATAATAACATAGATAAGTTGATGGATTGGTGGTTACATGCTAACAGACAATCCTATTTACTGTTTCGCAGAAATAGGTTCAAGATGAAACACTATCTTTTAAAGTTATGAGCATCTAGCACAAGCTAACTTGACGTACATTTGGTAGAAAAGAAAAAAATTATCTAAAAGAAAGATTTCAATGTGATATGTATATGTGGTGTATGCTTCTTACATCGTCAGACGTAAGTAGTATGTAACACTAATCAGAAATGAGATGCCTGGTAGCAAAATTTTGAGAAGATTGAACTGAAGAAAACAGATAGGGAAACATAAAAGATTTGAGAATTGGAAGAGTCATGAAGGAAGTAAAGGATAAGTGATAGAAGATTTGCAAATGAAGTATTCAATGTACAGTTTTCACATTTTACCAAAGAACTCTGTAATCTTGCGCTAAACAATAAATTAGTCTTCATTACTTGGATGGTGGTTCACTACACATATATAGACTTTTAAATTTAACATGGTGATACAGAAACCTGACACTTTTGTATACATCTGTCCTATGTATCATTTTTCCCATAAACGATTTCGAAGCCAACCTGATGACTAAAACACCTATTTCAACTTCACTATTCACTATACGGAAGTCAATTTTCAATGATTTGTTTCAATATTAGTGACGATAAATATATGAGGGTATGGGTCTTAGAGTTTCACTTTTCATTTGATAAATAAAACAAATTGATTTCTATCACTAAAGTAAACATAATCATTAATGAATGGATAGCTTATTCATTACTTCATCGGTATTCAGTTAATTTCACTGGCTGAATTCATGAGTTGATTTATGCTATACCACCATGGAAAACCTGAAAGCACTGGAGGGCTGTGACCAATGGAGTTTAACCATGTGTGTTGTATAGGTAGTTACTCACAGAAGACAATAGTGGCCTGCGGACCTATCAGTCCCCCGCCAGGCGCTTAACCAACTAGTTCACTGAGCCGGTATCCAACAGTGTTAATGTTTAAGTTCAACTAGTCCACGAAATTGAGCGACACATCCACCATTGTCATCAGTGAGTTACTACCTCACAACTGACCCGGTTGAACCCCACTGGTGGTTGTGTTGCTCAATTTGGTGGATTAGTTGAAGTTAGACATTAACACCGTTGGATGCCAGCTCAGTGGTCTGCTGAGGAGTCCCATACTAGGACGAGACGGCTGTCCAGTGCTTCTACGTCTTTCATGGTGGTCTAGCTTCAATTGACTCATGATCTCAACTGTTGAAATTACTACAATCTCCACAAAACCCCCTTCTGATACTATTCAATTAGTATTTATTACTTACATCTACTGTGATAATATTTCAAAGTATTCACTCACTTTTATACTCTTTATTATTTGTGAGGTATATTTTGACTTTTTCATTCGTCGATTAGGTAAGCTTTGACCAATTTCACATTGATTTGTATCCAGTAATTCTGAGAGATTTTCATCGTCATCATAACATGAATGAGATGAACTATGAAGAGAAAAAAGAAGTGACAGAAAGAGTTCAGTCGTAAAATGGATCCAGTTTTGATTATCTATTAAATGATGTGAAAAAAAAAATACTACAAGAGAACTATTTTTTTAAGAAAGTAAACCAGATAAGAAATTCAACATCAAGTAAAGTATGTTACTATGACGACTGCATGGATATAGCTCTTTTCATAAGCTTTATAAAACATTGCGATCGTGGCAAGCAGTTTAATTCAGATAATGTACATGCTTTATTCAGTTTGAGACTCATCAACTGAGTATAACTTCATCATGAAGTTGGCGTTTGCATCAAGGCTTGAATAGAACACAATATAATTCATCTGTTCAAACTGAATAGGACAAAAAATATAATCTAGACTCCACTTCTAACCACACAACAGCTATTTTAGAGGTGCATTGATTTTTGTATAAGTTGTTTCGATCAGCCCATTGATATTTACGACTGTAATTGATCAGTCTTTTTGACTTATATGCATCCTGCGCCGATTGACACGATATTGCTTTAAGTCACAAGCGTCTTTAAGCAGAGATGGATGGTGACCGTTTGTGGAATCTAGGACGCATGCTTCACTCTATTTGGGACTTGTCAGTTGGATGTACCCACATCCTGATCAATTGCAGTCCTAAACATTAATGAGAAGATTCAAATAACTAATACAATAATGAATCGAACTTCACCTTCATCTACAAGCTAGTAGCTATCAGTACTCAGTAGTTAAGTAGATCGTGTTATGGCGTTTGATGCTAACGGTACTGAGTTTAAGTTCCTACATGAACATCAGTTCTGGAATGCAGTTACATCCGACTGATGAGTCCAATATAGGACGAAGCACGAATCCTTGCTTGCACTGCTAGCCACCATCCATCTCTGCTTGTATTCTAATGATATTTTATCAATAAAAAATGTTTTGAGAAATCAATGAAAAGTTGTAGGTAAACACAGTAATGCACAAGATGAATTTATGAAAAACTGTGGGTTATGGAAACATACAGGGAGCATTAAGGATCATTCATTAAAACGTTTATCCTATACTTGTATAAAGTATTAAACTTTTTTTTTAAATATTGTTCAGTAAACTCGAGTAATATTTTCTATGCTAATGTTTTCCTTATTACTACTAGTACTGTTACGATCTCTACTACTTTGGAACTGGCTTTGATACTTTCATCTCTCTGTAGTAATGAGGTATGTTAGTAAGAAATAATACACACTTAAGCCAGTTTCTTCGTTACGTATAACTGACTAATTAACTAAAATTTGTAGGTGTTTGCATTAAAATTTATCAGCCTCTGTGGCTATTTGTGTATCCTAAGCAAATTACGTCGATGGATACATGGCAATAGAGACTGAACAGTTGCACTCATTAACATTAGTCGTCAGAAAATATGAGCTCTCCCGAATAAGTGCATATTCCGCAAGCGGGATCGTGGATGTACACTATTGAGGAGTCACACAATGGGACGAAACTGCTCTCCAGTGCTTCCAGGTTTTTCATGGTGGTCTAGCTTCAATTAAGCCATGATCTCAACTATTGAAATTACTACAATCTCCACAAAACACATTCTAATACAAATGCATGTCTGTTGAACAAGTTAGAGGGTATCTAGAACCAGCAGCCTAGTGCAATGATATCTGAAATGGAACAATATTATTACAAACCGATTCAAGTCTATTGTATAAAGACATAAAATGTAATCCTATCAAAACTGGTTAAATCATTTATGTTAGTTAATTACAACAAATTAAATACCCCAATTCTTAGAACATATTACGATAGTCATTTCTAATCCACTATAAGTTAGTGACTTCAGTGACTGATGCCACGTTTTGGCTGGTTTGGCCACCCTTAACTTTCTCCCAACCGTCTCCAGCATTGCACGTCTTGGTAATCGGTGTTCAGGCATACGCAACACATGGCCTAACCATCTCATTTGATGAAGATTTGCAACCTCATCAGTCAACTGATTTACCTACATTCCCTAGTACCCTACCTACATTTAACATCATTATGACTTACCCGATGATCCTAGCAGATGCAAGCAATATTTCTCAGACATAACAATTCAGTGATTTGACCAGCATGTAAGACTCCTATTTAATTTTCAAAAAAATTTTTTGTATTACTCATATTATGATGTCGTAAACGTTTTCAAATATCTTATCCTTTTCTTCAATAATTCTTTTTTTCTTCTTCAATAAATGACAAATAATTGTACATACTTATCATTGGGTAAATGTTTTCTTTATACTGTTGTATTGTAGACCCCAAAATATGAAATTACATGTCCACATCATTTAGTGAAATTTCTTTTGAGCAGTCAAGAAAAACTCATTTCTAGTCAACGAAATAACACAACAACAGAAGGATTAACTAGACAACAGAAAGTATGTGAATGAAAAAAATATCTAATAATATGAGAAGAAAAGACTAAAAATAAGAACTTGGTAGGAAACTAAACATTAGAGACACATATTTCAAAATAATCAGACCTTCAGGTCGAAGGCCTCGGGTGTGGACCCCTTAGAAATCCACCTGCTTCGGTTTGGGCACCCGGCAGTATCACAGCCCTCACACATATCGAATGAAATTTGTGTGGCGCATATGTATTTGGTGCCTCCTTGTACCAATATCTATGTGTTAAGATAAATAAATAAATAATAAAAGTACTTTAGGGAATATTATTAAAAAATCAGACTGAATTGAATAGATGCTTTCTTCTTCTGAGGGGTATTTCAACAACAAGCAAAAGTAGATATCCAATGTTCCTGATCTGTATTCGGCTTAAAGAAGATAAAGCTTTCAAATATAAATTAAATGCGTGATATTTTCCAAATTATATGCATATTATACAAACAATTTTACTCTGTGGAAGTTATTCGCTTTTGTTATAGTTTCAACAACCGAATAAACAATCAGCAATCTGAATCCACTATTAACCATTCTGGACCAATAGCTTATAGGAATTATTGATATTATCAAACTTAAAAAAAACCAGTTCACAAATACCGAAACATAACTGAACTTATCTAGTAAGAAACAGTTTAGGAAGTAAGTGCATGCATACAAACTATCTTTTATAGGTTAATCAATTCTATTGATTTAATTTAATCTTACAAATAAAAATGTTTCCATTTTTTTTGTTTTGTAACTACTTAGTTACTAACTTTTGAATCAATGGTACATCAGAATCTTATTGATGAACAACGTAATCAAGTGAGATGGCAATCGAAATTAGGTGCTAATCCATTATCACCAGAAGAACGTGTAAAAATACTTGATTCCTGTATTTAACATAATTTATAATTTCAACAAATTTTTTACACAAATACTTTTTTATCCGATAAATAATGAATGAACATTTATTCATGATCCATATAATTGTTAACTAACTGAACCATTCATATTCATATCCCTCCTATTACGAAATTTATTTGACGTATGAACTATTATTCTACGATTTATTATTCTTGAATTATGATCTGTCAATTAATTACTGCCTCCCACATTCCCTGTCACATTTAGTTAAGTCTCACTGGTCTAGTGGTTAAGTGCTCGCGCGCAAAACCAGTAGGTCCTGCGTTCGAATCTCGCAGGGGGCCAGGTCGTGGATGCGCACTGCTAAGGAGTCCCACAATAGGACGAAACGGTTGGTCAGTGCTTCCAGGTTTCCATAGTGGTCTAGCTTCAACTGACTCATGATCTTAACGATTGAAATTCTTGTACAAATGTTATTTTCCATTTTATGGTACGATATGGTCTGTCTGGTTGGTATATAAACCCAGTAAATAAATGATTGGTGTTCTGGATATAACTGACTGGGCTAAGCAGGACCGATACGTAATCTAGACTGGTCACAAGGGTATAACTAGACAGGTTAAGGAAGTACTTTATGTAGAGAACTTTAGAAATGGACATAGGCTAGGAAATTACCATAAAAATTCCCATTACAAAAACGAAAGTAATGGAGCTGGAATGTAAGTAGTAATAGTCAAGATAATTCTTATTCAATATAATATCGGTTAATTGAACCCCAATCAGTTAAGTAATTGGTTATTGGTCAAAACGCATTTGAATGGATGGTGTTCAATATGTTTTAACATTAAAATTTATAACTCACTTGGTTATATTAATGATGTACTAAAATCAAAGTCACCATAATTAAAATACTTTTTGAAGGAGGTGGTCGATGAATATGTATTGCACATATTCAAACACCGTCTATCTCGACGACATTTTAGCTAGTGTAGTAGAGAGTTTCCAATGGACAATTATTGACGAATGTTCACTTTCGATGAACTATTTTATCAGAATGGGGGTTCGCGTAGATTGTAGTAATTTTTTAATAGTTGAATTCATGACTTGATATAAGCTAAACCTGCAAATATCAGCTATCAATACCAGCTTCACCAGCTAACTTCAAATTGAGTAAAGATCATCATATATTATCTGAATTTCGTCCATATCGTCCAGTGGAACCATTCAAGAAATCTTTCATTACAGGATCAGAAGTTCCTCTTGAACCAAAATTTCAATTAGTTGAATTTACTAAGGCAAAATGGTTACATAAATGTGATATGATTGAAAAATTTCGTTCAATGGTATCAAGTATTATTATTAATCGAAGAATGATTAAACGATTAAAAAAATTAAAACAAACAGTAATTGATGATAAGGAAACAGGTATCTCATTTCTTTCTATTACGTAATCTTACATTTATCCTCTATATGATTAGAATTTCTTTCCATGGATATTACAGTATAATCAAATAAATTGATAATATATAAAGCTAGACCACCATGGAAAACCTGAAGCACTGGACGGCCGTTTTGTCCACTGTGGAACTCCTCAGCAGCGGCATCCACGATCCCGCCCCCCCACCAGATTCCAACCCAGGACCTATCAGTCTCGCGCGCGGACGCTTAACCTACTGGACCACTGAACTGGCAGCTAACGGTGTTAATGTCTAACTTCAACCAATCCACGAAGTTGCGCCACGTACACCATTGTCTTCAGTGAGTTGATATATCACAACAGACCTGGTTTAACTGAACTGAAGTCCCATACTAAAACCAAACGTCCCTCCAGTGCTTCCAGGTTTTCCATGGTGGTCTAGCTTCAATTGACTCATGATTTCAACTATTGAAATTTCTAAAAATCTCCACAAAACAACTTTCGAAAATTGGTAATCCTATAAATTATGGGTTGCGTAATAATCTAGAGTGAATAAAAGTACTCACGTGTCATTCAATAGTGAATACAGTTCATTAGTTCAATAGTTTATTTGCAAAACCTCTAAAACGATCGGTTTCGGAGTTTTATTTTATCTATGATAACTTTACGATCATAACTACAATCAAATTATCAACATGGTTGTCATAGCTGATTATCATATGAACGTTTTAGATACACTGATTTGTTCTCATAAAAGGATTAGTGAATAGATAAAGAGTACATCTTAGCATGTGATTCTACACTATTACAAATCAATGGTTTAGTGTTCTGTGCACGACAAACTTAGCAACTGATTAGTAAGCTCAAATGCTTCTTCACTAATCTTAGTTTTTGATGAATAGATAAGGTCCCGACTTATATTCTGTGCAGACTAAAACTAGAAATTATTTCTAAGGAACCAAAAGCTAGATTATACTGTGTAGACTAGATTTCAAAACGTTGTTAAAGAAATAAAAACTAACTCAATCAGTAAGATCAAATATAAATATATTTGAATAACTACCAACTTCTGTTTCAAGCAGATGAATTCATGGCAAAATTTCAGTTACAACAAACCAAGTGGTATCCAAATATTCAACATGATAATTCTCTTCAATAAATGTGACCATACTTTAGTTGTGTAAATGTTTGACAAGATTTATGTCCTGACTTAGCCTTTAGAGCACATCACGAAAACTCCGTTGTCCTATAGTAAATAAATGAAACAGACAGATCACATAGTAACAATAATCCTCAGATATCTTGAATATTGAAGGATAGTTGAAATCTGTTTACAGGTGCATAGTTTTCACTGCCTAATTAAATGATCTACTTTTATTTACTATAGATCATCTACACTTTATTTTGACTTAGTACGCAATTTTGATGACCCGCTCAATGTATTATTCTGTTAATAAAATTCACATATTTGTTTCTTACACGATCCAACAATACTCGTCCTCATTTTCGAATGTTGTCTAGATGATATTCTAAATTCTGTAAGAACAATAGTTATGATTATTTAAGAATCCAAATCCTAAATTTCTGAATAGTGGCACCGTAACTCATAAGTGCTGTTTATATATAGTTAGTAACTTAGAGACCAAATACTGACTTGTGTACTTGACGCTAAAAGGTCTTGATTACTACTAGGCTTCTATCATCAATATGAGTAGAGTGGTTTGAACCTACAGACCAATAATAAAAAATTTACCTGCTAAGCCACCATGTTGGACAAACATATATAATAGTTGAATACGTTAACCATTTCGACCATTATTACTGGAACAAAAATGGATTCATAAAACGAACCAATGGCATAGTGTTATTACAGGTATGAAATGGATCCAAACTGTAAACGTAACTATTCAGAATGTAGAGCTTCCTAATCAGTTTGTCATCTTTATTTGTTTATCTACGTTAGAGAAAGTTTATTAGCATTAGATCATAGATCAGACTACTAGGAGCTGAATAAATATTTAAAGAGATATCTGACATAATAATCAGTCATATTTCAATAACAAATGAATAACTGTTCAATGCATTGGCATGATGAATGCACTTGTGTCTAACTATTTCTTCATCCTACTAAATATTTTCAGTATCAAAACATGTAACAAACGAAAAATATCCATACAATATTGGAAATTCAATTCAATCCCTTGGGAAATCGGATTGTGGAACTAAATTATTTCATCATCAAGTTTGGTCAGAACGTGATTTACTCTGTAATCAGCAATTGACAAAATCAAATCATACACCACCAGTATCAAACAGTAGTCTAATTCAATCTACACATCTACTACCGATAACATGTACATATAATTATAGTCAGCTAATGAAAACATTTACAACACCGAAACATTATTGGCCATTATTTGATATGCCTTTTACACTAGATCAATATGAAATGAAATACACAGATAAATTTGATTTAAATCTTGCTATGGATTATGCTAAATTAATACCGATGGATATAAATTATGCAGAATTATTACCTATACAACAACAAAAACCACATAATCGATTGTCATCAACCTCACAGGTAATAATTAATGTAAAGATTTTAATCGTTGAGATCATGAGTCAATTAAAGTCAGACCACCATAGAAAAACGAGAAGCACAGCAGTGCGCATCCACGACCCCGCCTCGTGAGATTTGAACCCAGGACTTATCAGTCTCGCGCGCAAGCGCTTAATCACTGGAACACTGAACTGGCCGGCATCCAACGGTGTTAATGTCTAACTTCACCTAATCCATGAATTTAAGGGACACATCCACCATTATCTTCATTGAGTTACTATCTCACAAAAGACCCGGTTGAACTCCACTGGTCATTACTTCTCACTAGAACTCCAAGACATACCTCTTGAAGCCAGTCACTATTGAGCATACGTCCTGGGTTTGAATCTCATGAGGTGGGATCGTGGACTCGCACTGATGAAGAGTTCCACAATAGGACGAGACGGCCGCCCTCTGCTTCCGAGTTTTCCATGGTGGTCTAACTTCAATTGACTCATGATCTCAACTATTAAAATCACTATAATATCCACAAAACCCCTTCTGAAATTATTGTAGAGCTTAAAATTACAAACTAATTAAAATCAGTCTGTTATGATATTTGTCGATCTTTTATTGTTGTTGGTGGTGGTTAATTTCATTCAATGAATAAAAGTGGATATTTGGATCGATAATCCTTCTAATGAAATAATCAACTTAATTATACTGAATAACCACCAAATAATAAGTGTCATGTTTGTCTAGTCATCAGTACTGATCGAATTCTAAATCTAGAGTTGATCGATGTAGTTACTCATCTAAGTGATTTAACATTTTCACTATACATTGGTGTTCAGTGACTGAAGTTAGTCAACATGAAAATCATTTGATTCACATGTTTAATAGTGAAGAACTACTACAATTGAAAAATGTTATGGGTCTACTCATGTTCTTTTTTTACATTACACTACTAGAAAATGGTTTATAAACCCTTGAGTACGACTAAAGCCGAAACTCCTAATCACTAAATGACAATTTCATTGTTTAAAATTAACGTACTGGCTTTAATTCAAATGAAAATGTTGTAAACTTTTCATCCTAATAATACCATTAGCCTTGGGAAAGTTAAAAAAAGATGCAGAAAGAGACGGAGTTAAGGTTCTGTTTTGTAAAAAAGATCTGAAAGCTTGATGAGAGACAAAAACTTATTATATTTTCGAGTAGAAATGTCCGCCAGTGGATAATTTAAACGTTTAAAGCTATCAGTCTGTCGAAATGTATTAAACGTAACCAGGAGTGTATTTTTGTAGTTTAAAATTCAACGGTTGAGCCTTTTTTTTCGAATTCAGTTCGTTGCGAGTTGAAAAGTGTTCATGAATATTTTAAGCTGGCCTACGGTAGACTGTTGTAGCTTCTTAACAGAGATGGGTGTCAGTAAGAAATATAAAAAAACAGTTTTTTATTACAAATTGATCTCCATAGTTGTTAGCACTGTACAGGGAAGTAGGTAACACGAATGTCGTACGGTGATTGTCACGCTATATTACTAATTGACTGAAGTTAAAGTTGCACCGTGAAACATCAAACCGCAAATTCTTTTGGACAAAACATTCAACTCAAGATCTGAAAGCCCCGTATTAGATATTTGTGAATTGCGGCTGTTCACTTTTGGCCAGTTCTAAGGTATCCTATGATCCCTAATTATCAACAGCATCCCAATTGAGATCAGTCTGTGAAGAATACGGCCTATAAATTGAACACATCTCCAAAGATCCCTTTAACTAAAATAGTTTTTCATTATATATGGAGAAATGATCATGTTATTTTGCTCAAAATGTAGAGAAACGCTTTGTAATCAAGTATTAGCTTCTATCGGTAAAATCGTATTCTCTAAATTAACCCAATTTACAGTTATGTCAGTTAGTCACTTCATTAGAAATGGAAAAACCAGTTGTTCCTAATTTTTTGTGAGTGTCATCAATACGTATGGATGGGATACTAAGTAAGCACATTTTAAATTTGCCTATCATTCTAATTACGTCAAAGTGATAAGTTGGATTGTTTTATAGGTCATTGGATCTCCAATAACTTGTAATAATGAATCAATAAGTGACTCGAAACTTAAATCAACAATAACCAGTGATACTTCTAATCAGTCAGCGATACGTTTACCACAATCTATACATTTGTTATCAAGATCGAACATGAACATTGATAGGTGCTCAAATGTAAGTTATCGTAAATTAACCGTGTTTTTATATCATAATAACAATAAATTTATTTCCATAAAATTAAGATGTTTCAATTTCAGGTTAGTTGCGTAGTGATATGACCTTGCCATGATGTGCTTGGATCAATAACATTCTTCCTCACTCAAATTTGCGACCAGATATGTCAATGAGATAGGGTTCTTTTACTCCCTAACCACTGATTTGCACACTAGAATAGACACATACAATGTACTATCATCAGATTATTTAAGAAAACTCTTGTGATTACATTCGAGAATTATATGACTACAACACACCATAAATAAGAAATCACAACATGTACTTAACTTGGATGTTTACAGAACAAAAGTGAATAACAGACTTACAATTAATTTAGTAGTGTAGTCTGATATTCTCAAGGACCAATATATTGATGCAGTCTTTTATTCAAACTATCTTAGAAATATAGATATTGATCACCTAAAAGACACTTCTGAAGTTTGTCCTGGTTTTTCGTTTCATTCTAATACACAGTTTATTTACTAGAAATTTATGGTATTGATTTAACGGTAGTATTTATTGCATCAGGAAATGAACTTAGCAGGAAAGTTATTGGATACTACAATGGAGCGATGAATTGTGTGATAATAGTTGGACACTGCTTGACACACACTCCTTATCCTCTTGTGGAAGTGGATCCAGCAACTACAGATCACCATCATAGCAATAAAACGTGATTAGGTAAAACTATGGTATAGATGCAGGTCAATGAGAATTATGAAAACTACTCTAGGGTTTTAAGGCGAAATTTAAAGAAAGTTGACTTATGTTGTTCATCAAAATACCCATGCTTAGAGAGTTTCAAATTGATAGAGAAACGATAATTTTTACCATGATAGAATAAAAATGATAATGTGTCAAGTTCTTATTATTTTATGCATAAATTTATTGTATAATATGCAAATAGCTTCTTCTACAATCTTTTCAAGCAAAGATGGATAGTAGCTAGTAGTAGAATTGAGGACGCGCGTTTTGTCTTAGTTGGGACTCGTCAGCTGGATGTACCTGCATCTGAGAGTTGATGTTCACTCCGGAACTTGCATCCAGTACCGTTCGCTTGAAGCGCCATCACGTTATCTACTTAGCTACTGGGTCCTGATAGCCACTCGCTTGTGGCAATGGGATGAAGTTTAAATTCACCTGATATTGTTTACTTGTATCTTCCCATTGTTTTTTTTAGGATTGTAATTGATCAGTCTCTTGTTGGCATATGTGCATATCGGCATATTGCAGTCCTAAATAACAATAGTAAGATACAAGTAAAAACAACACCAAGTGAATTTAAACTTCTTCTACAATTTACTTTGATTACAGGAAGCTACTATAGTAATCATCTTGTTCCCTGAATATTGAGCTGGTTGGTGAATTTGGATAACTAATTTTACATATGATTTTTTCATTACTGATAATGCGATAACTACGGCTCCCATTTTAATTTAATCTCTAACTACATTTCAATCAATTCATTAGTAAAATTCTTGTAGATAATAACGAATTTTCCATGTAATTATTTATAGCTATTAAGAGAAACCATTAATGTGAATAACCTTTTACTTGAATTTGTGAGGTTATGTAATGATACTGTAGTGAACAGGATCACCAGTGGCGATAGCCAAATGTATCAGGATACAAAATTACAGCATTTCTTAGTAAAATCTGAGAATCATATAGTAAATAATTCATTTGTAAAGTATCCATCAATTGTCTCAAACTTTGTTGTTACTTCGTTTCATCTCATTCTCTATCCTTTAATTTGCTGAACCTCTTGTCAACAGACACTCGATTTTTGATTGGTGATACATACTACTTACATCTATGAATATCAGTAGTACACACCACAATATTATCTATAAAATTAAAATTGAAGAATTGATAATCCGATAAATTCGTTAGAATCACTACTTATGCTGAATTGGTGGTAAATCACTGTTTCATCAAGAGCGGATAGGTTTTTGAAACATGAAACACTATTGATTGTTGTATTCAAGGGAAACTAACACTTTGACCAAAATGTTTTTCGGTGTTTATTAACAGCGCCCGTGATACTTATCTTTTAAATTCAATCTAACTGTAACTGAATGCGTTACGGACTGTTTGTGCAAACTCACTTACACTATCTACCATTTTATTTTGATGATGTTGGTTGGCAATTAGTAGAAAACACAAGTTAAACATATTTGTAAACATTTCATTCATCACTAAAAGTCGAATGGTTAGATTGATGTTAGATAGAAAGTTTTCGTTTTTGATTATACAGTTAATGTTGATAGTCGTTTATTCCTTTAAATAGTTTCAATTAATTCCCTCTTATAATTGTGTAAACTGTGAAGTCATAGAATGAATGTATAAAACCTTGACTGATTCGTTAGGAGAAATGTTTAAAGGTGAAACCTTATATTTAAATAGTAATTCTAAGCATAGGGTAGTGGAGATAGTTGAGTTTTATTGAAATCATGAACAGATCAAGATTAGACCACCTTTTAAAACCTGGAAGCACTGGACAGCCGTTTCATCCCAATACGTATCTACGATGTCGCACGCAGGAATAGAACCTAGGACCTTCGGTTTTAAACTCTATCCCAATAAGTCTAAATTGAACGATGACATTACGCAACAATCTTTCACTGTTGTCGATGTATAACTTCTTCACATCTGACACAGTTTAGCTTCACCAGTCATTGTTTTTCATTTGAACTCTGGAAATTTTCTCTCAAAGCTATTCACTAGTATGCATATAGTAATTTTTACTATGGGGTTGTAGAGATTATTGAATTTCAATAAAATCTTGAATCGATCAACTGTTACACCATCATTGATAGCCAACTCATACTAAGATGAAACAACAGTTCAGTACTGCCATAAATTTCAATGATAATAGTCTCACACATTGATCAGTTCATGATATAATTGAAATAATTTAATAACAATCATATATCATCATGCATTTATTTATTCATCATTGATCATAAGTACATTCATTCTATTCACAATCTAAATGCAAATGAACAACCAAACTTTTTGAAATTAATCATTAACCTTGAAAAAGTGCTTGAAATATTCAATATCCATTCTGGTCAGGATTCAATTTTTTTGAAGAGTAAAATACAACTATTGGTATTGATGAATTTTCTATTAAGAATTAGAATTTATCATTACAGTTGAGTTAAACAGGCAGATTATTTTCGAACTAAGTGAATGAATAACTAAACAATATAGTTAGTTGATTCTACTGTATGGGGCGGAAACCTGGAGAACTACGAAAGCCATTATCCAGAAGATACAGATGTTTATTAACAGTTGTCTACGCAAAATACTTCGGATCCCTTGGCCGGACACTATTACCAACAACCTACTGTGGGAGAGAATAAAGCAGATCCCAGCAGAGGAAGAAATCAGGAAGAAGCGCTGGAAGTGGATAGGATACACACATGACAAGTCCTCACATGGAATCCTCAAGGCCAAAGGAAAAGAGAAAGACCAAAAAGCACATTACGCCGGGAAATGGAGATAGACAAGAGAAAGATGAACAAGAATCGGATGGAAGTAGAAAAGAAAGCCCAGGACGGAGTGGGTTGGAGAATGCTGGATGGCGGCCTATGCTCCATTAGGAGTAACAGGCGTTCCTCTTCCTCCTCCATATTTAATTGAAGATTGTTTGAATGGAATTTGTATGATTATTGTAACTAACAGCTGGGATTGTTGTGTAACAGAATCAATTTCAATTTCACAGGCGCATTTACACTTTGTATCTTATCTGACAATTCATCTTCTAATTTTTTGAATTCATTTCTTCTTTTCTATCATAGATCTTTTCTAATACTAAGGTGATAATTGAAGGTACTAGACAAGAAACTCTGATATCTAGGTTTCATATTATTTGGCTCTTTTCTGAAAGGTGTGTTTGTAATCTTGAGGGAACTGATGGTTCTTGACGGATTTGACTCAGTGTCATCCAGTCTACCGTCAGAGACGTTAGCATTGACATCTTGCAGGACAAAGATATACCTACAATTGACTAATCACTGAGTAGGGGCTGATTTCGTGTTTATCTCATCCTTCTTAATGCTGATCGAATCATATGGGTCAATTTACAGCGTTACGGTTCAAATTGAATGTTGATGGAAATTCAATGAACTCTGGAAACATCTTGGTAGCGAGTGTCAAACAATAGCATGAAACATAGATTCATTATTTTCTATCGACTACCTACAGACGCCATCTAAAATTTCAACATGGTGCAAGGTATGCTAAGTCACTTATAGTAGCGGTCACGTTGCAATGTGACTAATAGGAGCTGGTCATCACTAAGACCTAAGATAAATAATAACAGTGATCGCTACTCAGTGATCAATCATTCGTAACTGCCGATGCTGTTACAGTTTCTGTTACTCTAGGACTCATAAAACAACTTACAATTATTAAGTTATTATTTATTATTATATCTTGATTGTTTATTTTTTGCTTATATTACAGAATCAATATCTACCCTTAACATTATTGAATCAATCTACATTGAATGATTATTCCCATGCACTAATCAATTCAGTCAATCAGTTGTATAAGCCAAATGATAATATTGTTTTTTCTAGTTTGTCTAATTCAGACTACATTGATACAGTATTAATTAATTTGAAGAAGTTTTATGTTAGTTCTAGTAAATGGAGTTCATCATCTAATACGAAAGCCGTTAGTACCGTTAAAAAAATGTAAGTCATAGCAGCATATGATGTTTTGTAGTTACTTCTCATTATGAAGTGATATTATTTGGAGGGCTTATAAAACACTCAGAGAACAGCGAACAACAGTGTATCTTCTCCACTTTGTAGTTTGTGAGTAATGTTCATTCATAGTTCCATATGAGTGGATTGAACTCACATACTTAGTGCTTCGTAGCTAGCATACTATATATTTCAGTCTTTGAATAGAAACTCTCAGAACTTCTACAACAGAAGTAGACTTTAATTATTTGCGAATTTCTTGATTGAAAAGCGTTTATTAAAAGAATATCAATGTATTGAGGGAGTGAATGATTCCAGTATATTTACTGTTACTGCTCACTGTAATTCTGATATCTTGTACACGATAACTTGGGCACAAGAGAAAAGACAGAAAGCATTCACAGAACACTTTACTCCATGGTTAATTTATGCAAAGAATATTGAAATTATTTATAGTATTTCAGACGGCCTTGAGCTCCTGGGACAATAATAATCATAGCAACAGAATAGGTAATTATCCAGTCGAAAACGTGACATATAATGTTTCTCTTTCTGGATGCTTCTGGGAAACGTCTATTGTTAATTTCATAAGCTCATTCTTTCCCGGCATTTTCATGGCCCTTCTGGACTTTTTCGAGGAATGCTTCAGATTTATCCAACGACCTGCATAACGGCTGGATAACTTAATAGATGTTTCAATGTTTTTTTAAATTCATCACAATGTCGAAAATACGACCTTTTTCCACATCTAGCTTAGTACAGGGCGGTATTGTGGAGTTTTTACTATATCTACCATTTTCATATACATAGTCTATTTATTAACTTGAAAAACATTGAAAACAACGATATATGTAGGATAATATGTAAGATTACAGACTACAGCATGAAACTGACAAGCTTATTTTCAAAACTTTTAAACTATTTTGTGAATGACACCTCGTTTACTGATGGGGTCATTCGCTATACAATCTTATCGCATTTAACATGTGGTCTTACAAAACTTTGCCTAATATGTTAAATGTTCATCAGTGGACAAGCAGGAGCAATCCTCTAGTTATTGAATTTAGAACGTTTAGCTTTATTTGTAAGTTATTTTTCTATTGACGAAGGATCGCGAATTAGTTAACAGCTCTGAATTCTTGTCAATTAACTTTCATTTAGTATCATATCCAAAATGTCATCAAACTTCAAAGGATGATAATATTTTACAAGTAAATGAACTACCAAAAGAAGATGAATTAAAATCCCTCAAAAAACTGATTGAACAAGATATTCAAGATTGGATCAAACGTTTCCCAGAATTGAATTCGATGTTTTCAATGGAAAATGAGTATAATGATAATGAGAGAAATGAAGAAATGTATGTTGTACTCTTTTGTAACAAAAATATTTTAACTATATATAGGGGGTTAGACAACATTATGAATTGATCTAAAAGGTTAAGAGCTCGCATCGAAACTTAAAAGGATTGAGTTTTTTCCCCGGTAGGGTTGTGACTATATACTGCTGATGTGTCTTACCTGTTCAGTGCTTGTCAATTTTCTTCATTGTCTTTACAAATTACCTAGATTTATGACTTTAAAACTTATTACAAATACAGTTGTAATTGAGGTGGGGTTTTAAAATTTTTGTAAGCAGAATTCGGTACATATTAGTTTGCAATGTAATTAATTGATTTATTGAATCCTTATGGACTACAAATCATTCATTACAACTGGTTGTTGTGTTTCACAAAGTTTTGAGAACTGCACTATTGTTAGATTTATTGTAGTATGATCTATTACGTGGATATTATTTTGTTAAAATATTCAGACTATCGGACACATTTATATAATGCGATGAGAAGGCGAAGGTTATAAGAGTTATGTGATCTAGTTACGTAATACACTTCGAACAATCTGAATATACATATACTTGTTAAGAACAATGTAAAAAACTATGTGAAATTCACCACTCTGGATAATAAAATAATATTACCAGGATAGATTAAAGGCAAGAACAAGTTGGTTTCTAACATATAAGGCAAGTTTTAGTTTCTGCATAGCCAAGGTTTCAATAAACCATAATATATACCCTTGGACACTCTTGTTTAACACTACGAAAGCTCGTTTTAATATAAAACATATGACCTGTCTCAAATAAATGTTCTACAGTGGAGGAAGATACTTGTCTATGATTATTGAAGTTCATTTATTTTTGTAGCCATTTAGGTACGTGCTTAGTAACCCTAATTAAAGATCACGATTGCTCCTCCCTATGCTTGTGTTTCAAAATATACATGTAAATTGGTAGACATGGAGAGATGTGACACAATCGTTTCCATACTGTTTAGATGATGCCTTTCGATAGTAATGAGTTAAGCTGAATAAAATGTCCTACTGATAGCTGATTTAAGTCTTTGTCTCAACATTAGACAATTCAAGTCACCTCTGAACGCTAGAATAATATAGATCTGTTTTTGATTGCCAAAAATATGGTAGATCTCGTCATATTGTTACCAACGGTTTATAAACTTCTATGAATAACTTATGTTCATCAATGTTTCTGTTACGAGTTTTATGTCTCCCTCTATAGTATCGCTAGTGTAATACGACTGGTCCAGTTTTAAAAACCCCTTATTAAACTTGATCAGACGAGTATAAAAGTTTGCGTTGAATAAGAATAACGATTATAGAAGTATGTAAAAGCATTTATTTCGTGGATTTTCGCTAGTTGCTTACAACCTAGAAAATAGTATTAGTTATTTTTAAAACAAAAAGGTGCATATACTTCATACCAGAGAATATAAATCGTATTCCTGTTGAGTATTTGTTGTATTGTCATCCATAATGGTAAAATGTCTTTGAGTCCTTATAACACATTAACTGTTTCCATATTACTGAGGTTTGCCCAAACTAATTATTTGGACATCAGCATCATCACCACCGTATATGCTATAATAGATCAATTAAATGCATTTTAATGTCAAACTAAATAAAGCATAGATGGAAGATGGTTAACAGTGGAATCTAGGATGCACGTTTCTTCCTATTTGGGACTCGTCAATTGAATGTAACTGCATCCCAGAGTAGATGTCCACTCCAGGACTCGAATCCAATACCGTTAACTTCAAACGCCATCACGTTATCCACTTAGCTACTGAGTCCAGATAGCCACTAGCTTGTGGATTAGGGTGAAGTTCGATTCATTGTTGTATTGGTTATTTGACACTTCCTAATGATGTTTAGGACCGTAATTAATCAAGATGCAAGTAAATCCAGATAACAAGTCTCAGATAGAACGAAATACGCGTCCTGGATTCTACTGCTAGCCACCATCCATCTCTCCTAATAACGTTTGTAATTCAACGCAATATCGTGTCAATCCGCACAGTATGTACATGTGCCAAAAGAAACTGATCAATTGCAGTCGTAAACATCAATGAGAAGATTCAAACAAGCAATACAATAATGAAAGTATGAATGTTTAAATACGTGTTTTTATCACTGTTTAGTCATAGAATTAACACTTATTGAATACCATTATTTGCCACATTTTGATTTATTGCATTTTAGATCATCTACATTAAATGACAGGAATCAAAACAATCCACTATTGAATTTGAATAACGCACCAATCGAAGAGTCAAAGAAATATCAGAATGAAATTTTATCAGTGTGTAGATTCAAATTCTAAAATGATGAATAATCTAAATAAATAAATTTAGATGTACAAAAGGAGTATATAATACTTTACTAAATGTATAAATATATACATCAGTAAGAGGTTATGGAGGTTGTTGACTTGCATTGAATCATAGAACCGATCAGAGTTATGCTATAATTGAAAACCTGAAAGCACTCGGCATCTGTTTTCTCCCTATTATGCGACACTTAGAACTGCGCATCCATCGGACTCAGAACTTTCAGTCTCGTGCGCGAACACTTAACCTCTAGATCACTAAGTCACTATTTAACGGTATTAGTGTCTGACTATACATATACATATTGCACAAAGAAGTGATGTAATTAAAATAAGAGCGAATTAATTACAACAATGACGTAATAAACTGACGATTATGTCACCATGGTAAGGAAAGTGTTGTAATTGTTCCCTTTTTTGACGTATAAGCTCAGCTTGAATCGTCTGATGTTAGTGGATTTGGTGAATTCAAGAAAAAGGGAATTCGGCTGTCAATTGATGATCCTGGAAGATCTCCGCTTTTCATACTAATGTCCTGTGCCATACAGATGCTTTGCAATAACACTTCTAAATGCTTCTAATCCCAATGAACTGAGACACTTTAGGATGTGTTTTACCAATGTGACTGTTTCGCAGGCACATGAAAATTTGTATATGCAGTCGGCGGTTGATCATGCATGATTGTTATTTTTCATCTCATGGTATGATGCAGTCTGGTCTGTTTGTATATAAACTATATTATTCATACAGCGGAGGCTAATACCGTGTTCAGGATTCAACGAGGAGGAGAAGGCGAGAAATTGCTATATACTATATAAAGATTTTAAGCGACTTAAGACTGCTTGTGCTGGTTAGCGTGTCATCGGCTTAACACAGAAGCAGTGTCATAAAATTCGATATCCTGATTGACGATTTTATAACGTTTTATAGAGGTATAAGTCATATAACACATGTGGTTTCATAATATTCTCAGTTAGTGAACCCAGTCAGTCAGTTAGACATAATATGCCTAGGATCCGGAATAAGCAAGCGTCATTTTAAGTTGTCACAACCAATTTACCACGTGAAGACAAAAAAAATTGACGTCATAAAATAGAGAATGTAATTAAAATAACAGTAATACTATTAAATATAAGATAGGCTGAAGTTGATGGACATGGTTCCGAAGTATGGAATGTATTCGTAGAATAAAAACAGGGTTTTTCTAGAAAATTTAATTAATAATTCATCAGCAACACCGTTATTCAACATCTGCAGGTGATTATCGGCATGACTTCAACAGATGTAGTATTGATCACTCACCAACACTGATCTTCGATTCCTGTTCAATTTCACCTTTCTTCCAACTGACATCAGTCAACATTGATGAACAATAACAGTCTCATCAATCGATTTACTATCTCTAACTGGTACTCAATATTGCTCACTTGGTTTTTCAACTATACCAAACAATGCTTCTAAAACATTTAGTAAAATTAATAAGTAAAGGAATAGACCCTATGTAAACATTGGTCGAATAGGTCAACATTTTCATATAGTTTATGTAAGGACGGCCACCGAGTGAACTCAAAGAAACTCAGAAAGAGCCTGAGACATCCCATCTAATAATCTTGTCGGGGTACATTTCAGAATCATGACATGTAGCTTCCCTATTGAACAAAAGCTAAAACTCACTACACACGTATTGGGTGGCTGTAATCATGATTTCGCTTTCACTAAAAACTATGAATACCTAAGGGTTTTGTAATATATTTGACACTGTTTGGAATAGCATTTTTTATCACTCGTATTCTATGTTCTCACTTGCGAATTGTGGGGTTCTAGCGTTTCAATGCTCAAGTAGTGCCAGGTCTATAAAGAAATCAAAGCTCTAGATCTAACAGTTTATGCTAAATCGTTTTAATATATTAATTTGCTGCGTATTCCAGATATTTATCAGGTGGAATTGTTACACTGTTGTGGTTGTTTAAACACTTTGATTTGATCAATGCATGCATACTGAAACATGTTATGTAAGCAAACAGAATAAATCCTTTTTGAATAGAAAAAATGTTAGGTGCGATACATTAACGCTGAATTCCTTATACATAACAGTGGATCGCAAGCATGTGTACTTGTTGATGATATAAGCGAAATAATTATAATCTCTTAATCACAAACACTTCACTTGTATGTATGAAATATTTTCTACTTTAAACCTAAGTTTTAGAATATTCAGTCAATTTAAATGAAAGGATACAATGCAAGCATCATTTTTCACTGCAATTAAGTATACGATTTTTATGAAAAATGATAGTCTGTAATGTTCAGTAAGATTCGACAGTTGGCCAATCATTGAGATGATCTGAAACTTCATTACAATCCATGACGAAGACAATAATTAAATTGTAATCAATAATGAAATGTCGCAAGTTTATGGGGTTCAGTTTACTTGGGACTTGAAAAACTGAGTATAACCGGCTTTAAAATAAATAAACTTATATCTGCATGAAATTCACTTGGTGTTGCTTTACTTGTATCTTCCCATTGTTACTTAGTACTGCGATTGATGATCAGTCTCATGTTGGCATATGTGCATCTTGCGCGTATTGTTTCAATAAAGCCTTAAGTCATTGCTTAAAAAGATTGTTACTTAAGGTCATGTCGGGGCTATGCGCAAAGGATGCACATATGTCAACAAGAGACTGATCAATTGCACTCCTAAATAGCAATGGGAAGATACAAGTAAAGCAACACTAAGTGAACAACGCAATGGTGTTTGAAGCGAACGGTACTAAGTTCGAGTCCTGGAGTAAACAGCAACTCGAGGATGCAGGTACATCTAGCTGACGAGTCCCGAATAGGATGAAACGTGCGTCTTGGATTTTACTGCTAGCCACTATTTATCTTTGCTTATATCTATACTGATAAATTTTTTCATCAAATTTATGTTATACCATTCACTTATTGTTGGTTCAACTTCTAACATTTGCGAACATTCAACTATCGTATAATGTGAGTGTATTTGATTAGTTTTTCACTACATAAATATACAAATAATTCAGGAAATGTTGTGTATATTTTCATAATAGACTGATCTCAACAGGTGAACCATTCAAAATTATGATGAACAAAGCAGATAGTTTTTTCTAGTCTGGAATTTGTCATTAGTGCTACACGTGTTACTACCAGATGGCCGATGTAAACCAGTGAATCTTAGACAGTTGTATTTCCTCATGATAGCGGTCCCTGGAAGCACTTCTCTGCAAGTCACTGGGGATAAAATCTAAACCCATCAGGCCCTAAGCACTTAACCTTTGGATTAATTGGTCCAATTTCGGTTGTGAACGCCAATTCATCATGTTTCTTGAAATGAGACAGAACAATTGTTCAAATCTTGCTGCTTTTCAATGGTCACCTAGCTCAAGTCAGTTGGTGATGTAAAACTTCAACATGAAAATTGTTGTAGTTTACACGAATATTACTTTGAAAAGTAATCATTTCTCGATAGGCTTTCAAGTGCAATGACTTATTGTATTTAAACAAACCATAGTGGATATGAAAAAGATGGTATGTATGGAAATAGTAAACTGAGTACGAAAATATAATATTCGGTGTACACATCAATAATTGAATGCACTAATTCTGTCTAAATGAGAATTATTCTACAAGTAAACATTGAATAATCAACCTTATTTATAGATTACAATGTACTCTATAATTAATTGGTTAGCTATTGTATAAATACATGTGTACTTTGAAAAAAGGATAGAATATTTTATGCTATGAAAACGTCTTCACGAATTATATCACTCCTTCTTTTAATAATTTGGAATTTACTACTCACAAGTAGTTGGAAATTATCAGTAAAACATGTTAGCACATATTTAACACTTGTGTATGTTCATGGCGGTAATGATGCACGCCTTAGTCATTATGATGCAATGAGATTTTGTCAAAAGTTGTCTGGAAATATCCAACTTATTAATGAGACATTAATTCAGAATGCTACAAGACATAATATTTCCTTAAATGACTATATAAATACAACACTGAATACTAAGTATCTCAATCAATCAAGAAATATTCTGTACGGTGATTTAGTATCAATTCATAGCTCATCTATGATACATGTAATAATGGGTTGGGTTTTATCCACAGAAGCAAGACAATTTTGGATTGGTGGATTGATCAAATTAATTGTGCATGAATTCAATGGTCAACATAGACATGTAATACAAACGTGGACAGATCATACACCTGTAACTTTACGTTTTCTACATCATCATAGTCCTGTATTAGAAAATTTAAGAGCAAATGATATTGCTTGTCTATCAATAGATTATGCTAGTGGTAAATGGGGTGTACATTATTGTACTGAAACAAAATATTTTGTATGTGAATTATTGAGTATACCAAATAGACGAGTGATAATAAGTCGACCACATTTAGCTATTACTCCTAATACTACAATCACTTTACATCGTAATCATACTATAAATAGAAATAATTCAACAGCAAGAGTCATAATTATTCATTTACATAGTCATAACCATGTTATAAAACATCTTAGAAATATCTCCAGCCCAACAGTAACTGTTACTCCACACAATACGAATTCAACAACAGTTGAAATGACGACGAATACACCTACAACTACCGTGAAGTTGAATGGAAATACTACACACCAAACACCTGGGAAGAAGTAAACTTCACAACTGAATGTTTACATTACATGTTGTAAAGAAGAAAAAATAAAAGGTTTGTCGACCACTTCATTTGTTATTATTTTTAGAATGGGTATTGTATCAAATAATTATCTGAAAGTCAATGTAATACTAAAGTAATGAATGATGATTATAAGTGTAATATCTAAATGAAGTTTTTTTATTATTTTAATTTTAACTTGTAAGTAAATATAGGCTAGCTTTATAAATGAACTATCGTTCAGCAATATGACATGGGTCAATGAAAAAAAGTTGCCGTGGCAACGGACAATATCTATCAGAAACAATATTGAACTTATTTTGATGAATTTTTGTTCTCTGAGCAGTATGGTTTAGTCAAAGAACAAAAACCAATCAAAATCATCCACATGAGCTACAAATCTTCTCCATCATCTCAATATTGAACTTAGTACAAATGATAGTCAGTCCGAGTAGTTATTTTATTGATCAATATGTTCAGAGGAAATCACATGATGGTAACCATGATATAGTTCGAAGAGAAAAACAGTGAATATTCAGAGGTAAAACTAAAATCTTCGATTAAGAACTTAACACACTAATGTATAACTCAATTAAATAATCCTAGAACGTCTTTAACTAACAATCTTCTTCTAAAATAATTCTATTCTAGCAATATACATTTTATGTAAACTCACCAAACTAAATGTAATTTTATTTTCTGAACTGAATCAAAGTAAATTACAGCCTATACATAGATTCGATTATACGAAACCAATTAATCAGGGTGAATAAATTCGATGGTGAATACACAAAGTAAAGTTGGATATTTATTTTTAGATTCATAACTCACATGTGCGTTTCGCTATAACCATTATTCTATATTTTCTATGAATCATAATGAAAATCATAGGGTTTAACGTATAGCGGATTAAGGACTAGTGTTACCGGCTACCGATCATAATATGTGTGTGAAGCCCATTAATATTATCGTCAGTATGGAGACTTTTGAATTACATTGAAATCATGAACAAAGGTTCTGGTTTCGATTACCGGTTGTGAATACGCACTTCTGAGGAATCTCATATCAGCATGAAATTGACACCCAATGCTTCCACTTTTTCAATGGTCGCCTAACTTAAATCGGTTCATGGTTTCAATGTTATTATCATTATTGTTTGAATAAACAAAGACAAAGAAGCAGGAGTCATATCGGTGGTTTACTAATTTAGTATTGAGTACTGATTCTTTCGAATACGTAACAAACATCGGTTGTGATAAATCCACTTAGTATTGTTCGCCTGAATCTTCCTATTGATGTTTAGGACTGCAATTGATCAGTCTCATGTTAGCATATGTGCATATTGCCAACCAACATATTAAAATTGATAAGAATGTTAGTATAAGTTTTGAATTACTCCAGTCCCTATCATCCTACTGAGCACTGAAGCAACGTCTTTTTTTGATAATGAGTTCCAAACATTTTTACACCAGGAGCCACGCCATTCAGAAGAATCTGTGCTAAGGTTGGAGCTTTCACTAATCATAACTATTTTATCTGTATACTCTAAATCCATAAGTATCTGTGCATAAGAGACAAAAAAATTTCCTTCTAAGAGTGGATTTATGATAACCGATTAATAATTCACCATCGATTGATCACTGCCATGTGTCAGGTTCTTTAGGGAGTATCAATCACATCAACATTACAGGTATACCTTGCTGATGAGTACCAAATAGCACAAAACCCTGTTGATCACCTCCAACCACCATCTTATATCAACTACTAATTATATGACTTAAATTGGTCACTATCGGCTAACAACACAGTAGGTGAATATCAACAGAGAAAAAGATAATGATTGTGACAAGAAAAGAAATTAACAATGAGAGAAGTAACTAGTCGTCTAAATGTAATACGGAATATTCGAAAAGCATGTACATAGTGAATTAGCCAGTTTTCCTAAGAGTAATAACTTTGTTTTAAGTAAGTTAACTTATTCTCTCCCTGATATCTGCAATTTAAGAACCATTATGTACATTTAATTCGTAAATATTTCAATCCACTTTGTAATTTTGATTTTCAATATTACAAGTGAAAAGCAGCTAATGAGAACCGAATGAAATAGATATTCTGTTCGAAATTCATTCACCCGTTGGCATTTTAGCTGATGTCGGTGATGAAAAACCATAAATCCAATTCATAACCATAACCATCAACTATAAATCATAAACTACATCCTTCAAATTGCTTTATAATCCTCATTTAGTCTTAGTAGGTAGGTGGACATTCTCAACGTCACTAAAGTCGTCCATAAATTATGGTCTCGGCAATAACATTTACCAAATGTGCATCTTTTCTTGCCTGAATCGTTACAATGAATATGGAGCCTCAGTAGATTCTGATCATAAAACGTTATTGGTAAACTATTTGATTAAGATTTTTAGCCCTTGATGGCTTAAGAATTCCAATTAATTTACTGACGACTATTTGAATGCTTTCAAGCTTCACTGGACATGATTAGATAAAGAAATTCGAGGAAATTCAACGAGAATTCATTCATTATTGATCAAAAAAAGTTATTTATCTCAGTTGTTTAAACTAACTGATTAGTTTCAATAGGGTTTTCATGACCTATCCAAAAAATTAACGAAAATTGCAATCGCTGGATTCCAAAAAAACTCTACATTGATTTCATCCCCCCAAATCCTCCAAATGTTGCGAATCTTAACAAAGTAACTATTGCGGTTATAATACTCTACCACTTAAGAATAAATGGTCAACAAATCATAAACACAAAAATTCAAGATACTAACATAAGTAATAAATAGACAAGACATGTTAACCTAAAAAGTAGTCCTGAACTCATTAAGAGATGATTTATTGATTGAATCAATCGAATGTCAACTAAAAACTCGTAAATTTCAATCCAGATTCATGTGATTTAGTTTAGATAACTGAGTATCATCACTATCATCTAAACAAATACATTTAAAAAAAATAAACCTGGCTCAAACTCGTATAGATAGACATGTAATTTGATGAGTTACAACATTATGCAATAGTCAAGTAGGCAAAACACCATAGAAACAATCGAAATTCTTTCTATTCAGTTAAATAGAAATAGAATATTATGAATATATTTTTTTAAACAAAAATAAAGTTTTTTAAACTCTTTTATAAACAAAAGGTATTGTGTACAGATTTGTAAGGGGAAAACAAAGACACAGAAGACATACATACATACATACAATACAGTACAACAGAGAGAAGAAAAAGAGAGAAAGAAAAAAGAAAAGAACAACGATTGCAGAAAAAAGAATCTCTATTTAAAACAAAAACATCTTGTTTTTTTCTTTATTTATCATCATTAATTAATTTGAAATTTGTAGTTAATAACTGTTGTGTCAATATTTCATATATCATACGTTTACGTATTCCTGGCATATCATCCTTTGTAATTAGATAAGCAACCGAAAACAGAATATAATATAAATGAAATGAATTATGTATGAATATATATATATATATATATATATATATATATATATACATGAATAGCTAGTGAGTATCTGTTATAGATGATTACACATATAATCAAACATTTACGTCAGAAGTGGTATAGATTACATTCAATGAACTGATAAATGAATCTAAGACGTTATCATTAAGCTCTTCGTGTAGGGATTAATTTCTCAAACGATTGAGGTAATTAGAGTTTAATGAACATTGAGAAGTGGTCAAGGTCATATTAAATTGGTCTTAGTAGAATTTCATGAAAATTCTGATTATATCTTGCAATAAACTGTCAATTAGTGAGAAACCTAAGTTGAGTAATGTCTCCCTTTTGACTATTTCTAACAATCTGACATGAATTCCGTATATATCTTCTTCATTCGATATTATACAGACGACGTAACCAAATATTTGTAATGGTTTACGATCACATACATCTACTTTATATTGAAAAAGCCCTAAATGTTCATCAGTTCCTTGATGTTTCACTGTAGATTACTACACATTAGATTCGAAATTATCAAGTCAAACCCTGGTAATGACACCTACAAACTGATAAATATATAAATCTAGTTATGAATTAATGAAACAAATATTATTCGTTCAGATACTTTTTTGTTATAATAAGATTGGGATTTTTGAACGGTTGGACCATGAATTTTAAAATCCTTCGGTGTTAAACACATCGCTAAAAACTACATTATTAAGTTTGATCATAAATGTTGGGATCACCGGGTAAATAACAGTGAGATTAGACGCCAGAGTATTAGGGAATGATGGTAAATCAGTTGATGAGGTTGTGAATCTACATCGACTGAGATGGTTGGGCCACGTGCTACACATGCCTGAACACAGATTACCACGGTGTGCAATCCTGACCAGTATTGCAGATGGATGGAAGACATTTAGGGGCGGCCAAAGCAAAACGTAGCATCAGTCCATAAAGTTGTTAACTTCTAGTTTGAGCCATGTTGGTAGATACAGATTACTTGGTTGTGGTCCACATGACTATCACAACCAATGGTTGGAGACTCTGGGAGATATGGTTCAGAATCGATAGCAATAGCGTAGGTGTATACACTCTTTGTCTTTCTTTAAACCGTGAGATTAAAATTATTTCATGCCTTTATTTCTACGAACTAAATTTTCCTCCCTGTATCATAACCTTATATGAAATCTTTTCTTACTATTATTGAAGTAACTGCTTCTATGAATTTGGTGATCATCTTGTTCTGCTAATGAGGTACGGCAACGTGAACCTATGAATATATTTGCTTGGTCCTACTTTGTAGATGACTGACTGAAACTGAAACAAAGTAACATAAAAAACTGATTTTTCGATCTTAAACGTCTGACTGAACTTTATAAACTAAAACTCAGTTAAGTATACGGTAACCACTGAAATTCCTAACAGCGAAATGAACGATGACAGAAATACTTTTATTGATAGTATAACCGACATATATTCACACAACAAACTAATATAACTTCTAACCTCATAATCTAACTAATGTGTTGTTTCAGACTGTTATATACAAATACAATAATACAATTATTAAATAATATTTGGTAAGTATTAAAAATCAACGTCATAAATAACACGATAAATTAACAAAACATACACATACATGGTTTTGCGAAAATTGGATAACAATTTGAAAATGAATAGATTACCTGACTAAATGTAAATGAAGCATCACGAGAGATGAATTCACCAAATGTACAGAGGAAAACACCACAATCGGAACCGTTGTACTGCTGAGGCACAGTGTCCTTGAAATAAATATTTTAAATGTAACTCAATTATATGATAGGTTGTATTATCATTATTATCTGAGCACATAAACATTGGTACAAGGGGGCACCAGATATACGTGCACCGCACAAAAATGATTTAGTCTGAGTATGGCCAAAAATACTGATTGGGCGCCTAAACCGAATCGGGTGGTTTTCTTAGGTGGCCCCACACACACCGAGCCGTTGACCTAAATGTCTAATCTACAAGGCAGTAGAGCAACGTTAGGAGATGCAGTCCCATGGTAGTCGGTGACCAAGAATTGGTTCATACGCCATTTGTTACCTCACGATCCTGGAGCCCATATGCACGATTGGTTTGGAATCAGGGTTTTCCAACTGCCTTAGATGGGTCCTCCGATTCCACCAACCCGATTAAAGAGCTGGACATTCGCTTTTCATCTTCTCAATTTCGTGAACACCCTTGCCACGAGAAGGCAATGAGTAGGACCTCTCTGGTAGTGGCTGTGTCCGCGACAATATTAGAGCATTTCGAGAGGGAGAGCGGATTCTCCCTACTCTCGGCCGTACCAGGGCATTTGTAGGCAAGGCATAAACAACGTTGGATATGGCATATATGCGTATTGGCCAATGTTTTTATACCACATAAACATAGTGAGATGAAATTAACAAGATAGGTTACCAAGGTAATTTCTAGATTTATTAATTAATTCGTATAACTTTGAGGAATTAATTAGATTATCAGACAACTCAAAATTTTGTACAGCTTTTCATAGAACTAGATCAATTAGTATTTTTGTAATTAGAAGATGATTTTTACTTTATTTAAAAGTGAGGCTGTATATTCAATTTTTCATTATCATAATTAAACAATAGTCATTTCATACAATGATCAATGTGCTTCTCAGGACGATGGATACTTCAAAGATAACAATAGTATACCTTGAACAATGAACTATATGATAGTATAAACTAATGCAATTTGGTTTATAGCATGAGTTTGACATTGAGAGCAGTCATTTTTACAGAATATCATGTTCTTGTCACATACAGAAAAAACTAAACAAATTTTCACCATCCAGAAACAAAACGACAAACTAACTGAACTCTTAAGACATTACTAAGAACATCGAAGAACACATAAAAGCTAAGTAATCAACTAACTCAGTCGCGAAACATCAGACATTAAAACGTTCTATACTTGTCGACTACTAACCTTTACTTATTTATGCAAGTTGAACTTCTCAGAGATACATGTTGATTATAGCAAGTACTTGTCAAACGATTCAAAACAACTGATATTATCTGACCGATAAAACCGAATTGATAATGCAACTCATTTACCAAGTACAGATGTGTGTCCTTGGCTGTGGGCCTCAGCTTACGCGTAAGAGCTAGTGATACTACCCGGTCGCTCAAACCAAAGTAGGTAGGATGGGGTTTGGACCTGCGACAAAAACTGCTGGGGTTTAAGTGAGTTGACCAGCAAACTATCAACTCTCTGGAACATTCAACTTATTGTGAACATAGATCAAATTATTATTTAAATTTATCATTCTGTCCGAAAAGTGAGTGATTCAATCAATCAATCCTCAGTTAGTTAAAGTCAACATAAGACTTAGCACCGATATATGTTGATCAGAGTTACCATACCACGTCAGCACAGTGAGTTGGAATCGACAGAACGAATATGAAACGAACTAACATAGTGATAGTCAACACTAAGTAAGAGTTAAATTACCTCTGTATTAACGAGTTTCCAAGAATCCGGATCTGGCAGTTCAACATTTCTTTTGTCTAATGATTCATTTTTCAAATAATCCCTTTCCAGAAAACAATTTTGAAAAAAAAAGAGTAGATTACGAACAAGAATTCGATTATACATAAACTTAAAAGAAAACTATTCATTCGTAATATATTTGTTTAAGATTAAGAATAGTTAAAGGTTTTTATGTTATAGGCACGAGGATTTTGGGTAAAAGGAACTAAGCATGTGACTCAGTAGTTAATGTGCTATTCGATTGTAACATTTCAATCATACGATTATTAAAACTAACTGAGCTACGTTAACTTCTATTGAGTCAATGTTTAATCAGATCTGTTTAGTTGTCAATATAGAATAAAAGTACGAATCATGTAAGTTTATTGATCATATTAATTGGTTATTCCCACTGATCAAATAAATCTATATTAACCAGTTTTTTTTCTCCTCACTTGGATCGAGTAGTACACACACCCTCCCACATATGGGTTTTGGAATAGTAAACTTCGTTTTATCTAGTAAAAACAAAAATTGATTGCTGTAAAAGCTGAGAGGCGTTTAAGTTTGTGGTTAAAAGTCGGCTATTACGTAATCGCAAAAGGTCTATAAGGTCAATCGTCACAAACATTCACTGGATAACGATCGATATAGACATTGCTTACAAGAAATTTTATCGGTTTCAGTGCTATTGTTTGTGACGCACAATGTACCTAGATCACAAAAAAATACGATAGAGAGATGAGCTATACGATCATCATCATCATCTATAAACGCCTTACCTATTTTTGCTCGGAATTCATCAGAAGTAAGTCGCTTTACATGTCACCTTAACGGTAGACGAGATAATATCAACACAACCAATGAGTCTGACCATTAAGTTTTACGACTAGGGAGGCTGAGAAAAGTATAAGTTTGACTAGACGAAAACTGCTATAATTAAATAAAGATTATGGAAATTATTGAAGTTTAAAATTTACATAATGAAATGACTTAAGTTAAAGTCACTAAAAACCAGAAAGCACTATAAAGATGTTCCGTTCTAGTATATGAATCCTCAGGACTATGCATCCACGACACCATCGAGGACCGAGCCCAGAACTGTCAGGTTTCACATACGTGCTTCGGTTTGGGCACCCGGACAGTACCACAGCACTCACACATATCAAATGAGATTTGTGTGGCGCATATGTAACTGGTGCCCTCTTGTGCCAGTATTTATATGTTCAAATAAATAAATGAAATAAGGTTTCGCAGCAACGGCCTTACCACTAAGTCAACATAAAACTATCTACAAGTCTTTAAGTTAAATCAATCCGCAATATTGCTCAGCTATTTTTTAATGCTACTGTTGGGCACCTGGCTAAGATGGTCGAACTCTAAATGTCATTAGTTGTCTCCTAGAATCCAGAGAACAGAAAGATCTAGGTTCGGTGCCCGGTGTGGTGGTGAATGTGCACTGATGAGTGGTCCCTGTACCCGAATGAAACAACTTCCAGTACCCCCTGATATTCAATAATTATCTAACTGAAGATAGTCCTTAATGTAAACTACAAAATACTATTGTGCTGAATTTTTCTATTTCTAAACATTGGATTACCAAACTAACAAGCTAAAAGCCTGGAATAGATTCATAGGCAAAGCACATTGAAACTATTCGATAGAAATTAGTGAGACTTTCTTGAAAAATAATTTATACACAAAAATTTCACAGGTTGAAATCATGAGTCGATTGAAGCTAGACCACCATGGAAAACCTGGAAGCACTGGACAGCCGTTTCGTCCTAGTATGGGACTCCTTCAATCGACACATGATTTCAACCTGTGAAATTTATAAAACTCTCCACAAAACCCATTCTGATTATACACATAAAGCCTTCAGTCAGTGATATACAGCAGAAACGTAAAACTTACATTAACTGTTCCAAACACTTCACGTTACGAGAACCCATGGAATCGTAATATGTTATCGTTTTGACACGTAAATCAATACACTTGAAAGGGATTATGTTTTTTAAAACAGAAAAAATACAGATAAGTAAATTAAAAGACAGATGAGTTTAGAATTAAATCAGCAAAAAGTATCCAATAGATATCCAACAGGTAAGCAACTCAAACATAGCCACATGAGAAGGTCAATCGTTGGCAATCAGAAGTGACCTGGAGAACAAGTGCATACCATTGGCTAAGTAACAGATTAATTTCCTAAGGGGTAGAGTTATATGTAAATAAATGAGTATTTGTGTATTTTATTCGGCAGCCTAATATACTTTCTCATTCACCCTTGTGTTCTCACTCAATTAGTCAGTTGGGGGTGGGGAGGTTATCGCGTTTATTTCGGAGACCGCCCGTCATAACAGATATATTGCATCTGAATTACAAGAGATTAATATTGTGATATACTACTATACATCATTTACATATTAAAAGTAAGCAATGTAAAACCAACTATAAGTCAATTCACCATACTAGTATTATATGATTACTTCACCAAACGACATTCAAACACCAACGTTTATAATGAATTAGTTATTCAATTTTATACACAATCTATTTTCCACCAGCTTTATGTAATGGTAACACGAAAGTGGGGAAATAAAAAATGATTTTGGCCACTTTTAGTACTGCAAAGACTCAGTGTTAATCTGAAGATTAGGCATCTACTATGAATTAACCCCATGGAAGAGTTGAGTGAATGATTTCTGATAATAGTAATTATAGTAAAATTGAGAGATTGTTGTTACATAAAGCTATTCTACAAAACTGTACATAACTGATAAATTTCTTTCAGTGAACTGGCTGAATTTATCAAAAGGACTAGTCGCTTTAACTTTGGCCTTTAATCAACAAATAATGACAACTTTTCATTCTCAGAATGGGGATTTGTGGAGATTGTAGTAGGTTCAGTAGTTGAATACCTGATTCAATTTAAGCTGGACCACCACTGAAGACCAGGAAGCAAGATTGTGGATCGATTGAAGTTAGGCATTAACACCGCCGCATGCCGGCTCAGTGGTCTAGAGGTTAAGCATTCGTTTGCGAGACCAAAGGTCTCGGTTCGAGTCCGACATGCAAGATCGTGGATGGGCACTTCTGAGGAGTCCCATACTAGGGCGAAACGGTCGTTCAGTGCTTCTAGGTCTTCAATCGTCGTCTAGCCTAGATCGAATCATGAATTCAACTATTAAAAACTTAACACTCAACTACAAGCTTACACAACTGGGTAGGGACCAGTTTGGTAATGAATGTGCTAGCTCCAGGTGGAGGGTCACCATTATAATCAAACCAATGATGTAGATCTTTAAAGAAAGTGAAATGTAAAGCGAACGCATGGCGCTTAAACTAAGTTCATGAGAAGTTGAAGGGCCCTGAGGAAACAATTAGCGCATGTACCTATTTTGGTCACGATTTAATATAAGACTGAGTCTTCTGACGTTGCTCCACTACCTTGTAGATGAGACCTCAAGGTTAAAGGATTAGGGTGTAACTCTCTGAACAAAACAGATTCGGAACTTTCAGTGATGAGTTTTTATGTGACATTTAGAGATAATGACTGGCTACTTAGAATGGAATACGTGAGGTAACAGTGTTTATACCTAATACTTGGTAGTAAAAAGTAGGGGTAGCACTCAAAACCCTGCCATTCGATTATTTACTTACACTTAAACACCAATGCATTCCTCTGTCATGAATTGGGATAAGTACAATATCTTGATCAAATAATTTTGATTGTCGCGTCCAACGTCGTACTCCTGAATAACCTCCACCTATTGGTGCTGTTAACTTTGCATAAAAAAATGTTGATAAAACAGCGATACGAGGAAGATTTGTTTGATGTTGACTTCGATGTTGTAACAATTGTAGGTAGAAATTGATTACCTGTGAAACAAAGTATAGAAAATAATTCATAAATTAAAAGTTTGAAGATGAAATGTATGATCTTGTATACTGACAACACTTAAATTACAGAAGAAACGTTGCTAGCATAATAAAACTTAGAAAATGGGATAGTTGAAAATGTACAGAACGTTTTAGAGTATGTTTTACGAGAAGATAGTGAATCAATGTTTTATGGAAAATAATTGGGTAATGATGAGGTGTAAGTTACCAGACACTGGACTGCTTCGGTTCGGGTACCCGGACAGGATTCCAACCCTCACAAGAATCGAATAATTTATGTGACGCATATCTTTTTGATGCCCCCTTGTACCAATGTTTATGTGTTTAAATATACAATAAATAAATAGCCACTGGACTACCTGATTTTAGTGCTTTATCGAAGGTAACCATAAGTTAAAATGATTCAGTACAAAGGAACTGAACTTCCATCAATGAATTGTATGTTTGATTATTCATACTAGATCATGTCGTTTATAGAAGTCTTCAAATTGGAACGTGAATGTACTAGAATTGGTTGATTAGTCGTTAAAAGATAAATTAGTGGAAAAACTTTTCTGCACTTGCGTAAACATTGAAATCAAGATTTTTAAAGACAACTAACGAATGAATATGAAGATTTGGCATACCACTATGGATATCGAGTTACATCATACTTAAGATTTGTTACCATAGATTACGTTTATCCGACAGGCTTGAATCGGGAAGTTTACATTTTGCCGAATGCTTTGGACAAGTATAGGCAAAAGCCTCAGGCATCGGTCACTGAATAATTGCAAGTTAGTTGTTTATATTGCTCTACAGCTTTGTGTATTATCGCTTTACTGGCTAGATTTACAAAAAACCAATAATTATCCTAAAATATAATCTGAGGTCACAATTAATTCATAAATATGAGACTGACCATATCGCTTAACCAATTTGTTCCAGTTAATGTCATTAATTCACGACGCGTAATAACTAATCTAAATTTATCTACAAGTACTTCATCTGGAGAACCAGTACGAAGAGCTGCTTCAATCTCAGCTAGTTGAGGTGCAGTTAAAACTAAGAAACAAAAAACAAAATACAATAACGATAGAAATAAAATGTGAAACTTCATCTTTGAACTACACTTTCGAAAGTACAACACTACCTTAATGTTAATAATAAAAAGTAGAAAAATAAATCAACAATCTCTACCACATACAGCTATGTCTAGAAAATGTTGAAACATGTTTACCTCCTGTAAACATATATTAAATTATACTTGTTAAAGTAGGTTGCTTAAGTAATGACAGTTTATAGGAGCCAGTTTTACTTTCTGGTTGCCACTGGCAAATGTGGTGCCAGCCGAACGGACACAGAATTCAATACTGACTAAATAAGACTAAACCTACCTAAATGAATGAGGCTTTGCAGGTGAATCGTCGTTAGTGTAATTTTATTAACACTACAATGGATACAATATGCGAGAAAATAAAGTCCCTCCAGACACACACATATATAAATGATATACATGTGAAGGATGGACGATAATTGACAAATTCATTCCAACCTTATTGCTATAGTAGTATTCATACCGTGAACTAACTAGATAACTTATAGTGAATTTTCATAATTTGCACACCATTAAGATTATAATTAAATGAACACTATAAACTAATACAAAATAGACAGAAAAAATCATACCAGGAAGAGCTGGTACTTTGGGTTCTTTAACTTTGACAGGTTTATATGGCAGTTCAATGGGAATAGGTTGGGGTACTAAATATGGATCTTCCAGAATAGGAGGTGTTCTTAGTAAACAAGCAAGTCTCTGTTCAAGATTGTCAATACGCTCTTTTTCAGCTGAAGTACGCTGAAATAATGAAGCAATGAAATGAAGTGTTACAATTATAAAAATTAGTTATTTATAAAAAAAATTATCTTGAATAGTCTAACTTTTGGTTGATTCGCTTAATTTTAAAACAGTAATACATCATAAAATTAAGAAAACATTTAACACACTATGTTGTTGGATGACGTAAGAATTCGAACGCGATCCATTGATCATCAAATCGAGATAAATAGAACGCTAGACAGCAATACTACTTTCAAATCAAGCTAATCAGTAGATTCGTTCAAGGTCATATAGCTAATTCTGAAGAACTAGAACACATGTTAAACAACGATGGAAGATAATTATCCTTAGGAGTACAATGATTGAACCAGGTCATAAACGCTTATTATATTCCTTCTAAAAATGCTTTATTTTATGGGCATACAGAACTAAATAACCTTACTACAGAGTTGAATTTTGTATTTGGATAATAGAAGAGCTTCTGCTCGTTTTGATCTATTTATTGAGTAAAGAAAAGAGGAGGAGGAGAATAGGCATAAGAATTGATATCTTATGGAATTATTCAAAGAAAGCCCAGATGATGAATTCATTATGTCCAACAATCCTTAGGCTTTACTATCAATCTATAAGTCGGTTATACACAACGTAGAACCTGACAAATATGTGGATCGATTCAAGTGTGGTGTGTGCTACTTATATCGACATAAGTAGTATATAATGTTAGTCGTGAACAGGTCTGGCAGCAGAAAGACAAGAGGATCGAACAGTAAAGAATGGAAACAGGATGCAATTTGTGTGAAAATGCAAGAACAATGAAGTCTGAGTCATTATGAGACAATTGATGGACATTTTGCAAATTAGGCATTTACTTTATGATTGTTAAATTTTATTAACAAATCCTGTATTTTTGTGTTGAATAGATTCGATTGTCCCCACTGGTGTTCTTGTTCACTACACAAGTACCTATACTAAACTAATACAATGAGATAAAATTATTTCAAGACAAACCGCAGAGTGTTAGGAGTAGTAACAGCATCAGTAGTCGAAAAGATTCAATAAAGAAAAAAAAGAAAGGTGAAAAGGATTTGGGCACTAAGGTTTTAAAGAAAGACGAAGAGTGAATGAACCTAGAATAATCCGTGTTATTAATATGAATAAAATATAATGTTTGTTAATAAATAACTCGATATCTTCCATATATATTTAGTTTTCCAACAACATTCTTGAAGTATTCATAAAGCATAATTAGTATAGAATTATAGTACTTTAAAAAAATTGCCAAAGGTTAATGAGTCACGATCTTAATTATGTAAATTTACTTAGTGAAAATCTCAAATAAAGAGCTACAATAAAACAATAAATCAGTTATATTACTAATTATATCAACCTTAAGTTGTACTTCATGTTCAATTCAAAATTGAACCTCGAGATGAAGGTGTATATTCTTGAAGAATCATGAATATAGAACTAAAATGTGATCAGAAAACCCCATTAAGATTAACCAAGGTTGTTTCGTTCAGTTAAGGAAAAATGCAACAGCACCTAAATTACCTGCTTCTCCCAAAATCGTATGTTTGCTCTCGCCAGCTCATAGTCACGTTCACGTTCATTCTTTTTAGCCTGATAGCTTGAGGTCAAGTTGTTAAGCCAGTTATCCGATAAGTAGGGAGATTCTGCAATACTTTCAAGCCACGCACGAGTTTTCGAATCACTGGTATCTGAAGATGGGATAGAGACAGTTTGATTATTTGTGCCTAGCAAGAGAATTGGATAAGATTATAAGAAACCATCTAAATTGAAATAAAATCAACTTTAGGGCGAAAAAAACTGCATCGCAGTAGTCGATGTATAAGCATTTACTGATATCGCAACCTGTGTATCTGGTTTCAGTTAGACGTAGTGTTTTAGTACTTAGGTATTATTCATCTCGTCCCTTTTAGCAAATCATTTATTACATCTGACAGTTCCTCAGAGATCTCTTTAGACACCAACTGTACTTTAATGAGAAATAAAACTAAGCAGCATTTAAAGTTGTGACGAATATTCGACCGACTGAATCATTAATACAACCTGATCCATTAAATACGTATGCAAATCTGTGTAAACTTAGCTAGATCAAAATAAATTAATTAGATCTTCTTGAATACCCTTATTTGAATGTCGTATTCGGTTACAATTAAGCAATAGCCAGAAATTATTTACTAGGGCATACCTTTCAGAAGAAGCATGAAAGAAGTCATAAATTCGCACCTTAACTTTTATTGTTACTAATGCCTGATGAAATCAACCTTTTTTCGTCAAAACACCATCGAACTTTAAAAACAGTAAGCTTACTAGCGTCGTCAATTCGCTGGATTCGGTTCCTCGGAAGAATTGGAGAAAGATTACATCTAAAAACAAAATAAACAAGATTTAGGAAACAGGTTAACAAATGAGAAAACTAGTTAATTAACTTGAAGGATATGAAAGAGAACAAAAAACTCAACTATCAGACTTTCCAGACACGTAGAACATACTGCAACTGGCATCCACTAGAAGCCAAAATGAATGACTGGCACAGTAGTTCAAACTTTGAGTCAAGAAAACTATGGCTAACTTGAAGAGAAAAGGAACAATAGGACCCGATGAATTAATTCCATGGGTCTAAAGAGATGTTAACTAATACGATTACCAAGATTAATTAAGAAAATAGGCGAATTTCACCCGCTGTATTTGACTAGTCTTGATTCCTGGTTATAAGAAAGAACAAGGTTGTGATAACTACTGAGTTATCAGTATCCAAAGTAGTTTCTAAGATAAAAGATTCCTGATAAAACGTGTAATATTGAAGAAGTTGGGACCTCTGGACCTATTATATGGTGAACTATTCTTATTTTTACTGTAAAATTATTATGTAATAAGTTTATGGTATTTTCATACTGCTTTTGATTAATACAAACTATCGATATGAGTCTCTTTATAGTAAATTATCGTTGATTATCTCAGTCAGTCACGTACGTACATCAGTTCAAGTTGCCACACCACATTAGCACAAAGATGCACTTGTCGATTCAAATCCCGTAGTGGTAGAGGTAGTAAGAGTATAAGCAGTAATCGGAAAGATTAGGGGTTGAAGATGTTATTTAAAGAGTATAATCCAGTGAAATGAATCTGGAAAGAGAAAAATTAAGGGACATGAAGAATTCAGGAGATTAGAATTTGGGAGAACACAGAGAGTGGATGCACCTGCGCCATTGCAAACGATTTTGAGCCAAGTCATTCAGGGTCTCTAACCATCGGTTGCTGTCATCTCGCGGTCCCCAACCAGGTAGTCTACACCTACCAACATGACTCAGTTCACTTGTCAGTGACTTCATGGACTTGTGCCATGTTTTGGTTTGGCCGCCCCTAGCTTTCTTCCAACCTACTCCTATACCACTGAACATAGCACGTCGAGGCAGTCGGTCGTTGGGCACGTTGATTATCTATTTAGTCTTTCTCTGCCATAGTCGCTGAGTACTAATCAAACAAAATTTATCAACTTTCACCCCCACCCCTTATTTGGTCTTTTAATATTTATCCCTTACATAATCTTATTGATGTTCACATTTATTTGGCTTTGCTTCTTAACATTTCAAATGATTATGAAACCAGCTATGAATTTCATTTTGGTTGATTAGTAATAAATATAAAAAATCCTACTCTACATTATACAAATACGCGTCAGACTTAACTACTTTTGTTCATACATTTCGTGTCTTCCCTTATAATGATTTCGTTTACGTCTTGCACATTTGTCTAAACTTCGCAAACTTAAGTATGTTAAACATTTAATTACAATTATTTTAACAGCTGGAATTTAAAGTTATATACAGTTGATCAGAAGCCGTCAAATAGAATAATTTCATTGTATTCTTCAAACCTGACTGTTCCTGTTCTGTTTAAATTTATCAAGGGATATAGTTGCATACAATTTTATTTACTTACAAAGGTAATAGTCATCCAGAAGCATGTTTATGAAGACTTGTTAATTTTCACTATATCCGCCTCACTATTCAACATCACCAGGTTCAAGACGGATATCAGCGAAATTACGGAAGTTTAACACCATGTGAAATATGAAGATTAGTGGATGAGATAATGGTATGAAAAAGGTATTTAGAAAACTTGGATAACATTGTGACATTCTACAGATTACAGTTTCAATAACAAATGGAACGAGTTTGCCAGTCATTAAGATGGTAAACATCAAAACAAACCAGTAGTGACATAAAAGTATGACTTACTGCCGCAATAAAGAATAGTGATTATCTTTAATTTCGTCAAGATTTATAGTGATGGGACCACATGCATTATTCGTAGGTTTGCCAGTAGGAGTTCGGGAAAATGATGACGCCTTATCTAACAACCGTTGATATATCTGCCTTTCAGATGAGATGTGATTTTTCTCTAGAGATGACTTTGTGTGACCACTAAACGGAGTAGAGCTGAAAACGGATGACTGCTTCATTTTTTGCGAGTAAATACGATTATCGGATACAAAACTTTGTAGGAAATAATGACAAACATCACCAGGCCGATTAAATGCCTTCAAACTCACGGATGGTAGCTGAAACAGAATTTACCGTTAGGGGATGCTGAGAATATGGCATGATAAATACGTGAAGAAATATTTTGAGTTTGAGCGGATTACTTTCCATTATTTAACATCTTTCTAATCACTAGATGATGACAGCAAACGATCAAAGCAGGAAAATAATGCAACTGAAAATAAGACTACTGTTATGGTAGATACCAGATTAAGGTGTAGCGATGTAGTAGATTTGGAAAAGTTAGTAAGTGCAGTGATGATGATGATGAGTTACCTGAACGTTGACTAACTTTTGGATACTTGGCACCACACATAAGACCATATGCTTTTAGATATCATGTACAAGTGAACACTTGATCGAAAGTGTCTTTAAAAAAAGCAAACGCATAAAATCAAAACGGAAACTAAACTATCAGCTTGTAAATCTTTACAATCAAAAAAGTTCTAAAATATTAATTATTTTCCTTTTTTTAAACTCAAAACTGGATTTCAGAATTACTTGGCATAGTTTAGATTCACTCTGAGACAGCATCTGAAGACAAATGAAAATAATCACAATTCGCGTGAACTGACAGTCATAGTGGATTACCCATCAACGTATTTTATGTTTCAGATGCAAACAAAAATGAATATTATATTTAGCATACATACATCCTGTGGTTTACATATGCGAAACTTGGTCAAGTTATATTTTTGGATTCCATCTGTCCGCTCCACTACGCAAGTCATCTCTATTTTCCCTAGATGACTAAAAGTTTGCCATACCATTTTCTTGACTACTGGGCTGCACCATATTAAAAAAATATTACGATGCCTTGCATAAATATCATCCTGATATAGATTAAACGGAGACATTAACTAAATATTGATGTGAAGTGGTGGGAAACCTAGTGTCTTTTTTGAGTTTCATAAGTGATAACGTTCGGGAAAAACCAACCTTGAAGGCTAATTTTTATACATAGACAAGTACATCGCACAAATCACATCTAACGGAAATAAGATGTGGTCCAAGTTACCGCACTTCTCGGATGCACAAGAAACAAAGGAAGGATGAGGACATCAAAGTTAATACGATAAACTGCGAGACTCTAATTTATGGACGAGCCAATCAGAAGTGTTCGAGGGGTTCCAAGATCACAGAATCAACTTCAGTACTTAGTGCTAACGTATGATCGGTTTACAGAGGATTTTATGCAAAACGTGATAATTGAGCGGCTATAACAAATAAAATAGCGAGACTATAACTTGTGAACGAATCAATCAGTTATAAGATAACAAATCACGGATTTTGGTGCGAACGTCTTTCATTCATTTGGCTAAACAGAATTTTGGCATTATAGCTGACGTCAGTTCGTGATGAAAACCCTATATATAAATCCTAACTAAAGCAAATTATGACAATTATTGCGAACTGGATAGTAAAAGTACAAGTAACACTGGCTGCAGCTAGGTACTACAATATATGCGGATGTTTGGAGCGTACAGACTCCTACATAGGCTTGATTATGTGTATCGTGTCGTTATCCACATGTGGTATTTTGTGTACTCAACAACTGGAGTGCACACAAACGATATTGGAGCTATGTGGTCGGGGCTGAAAGAGTTTTTGCGACCTTATCATGGTTCCAGAGACCGGTCATTTTATAGCCATATGGATGATTTCTTCTACTGCATGCACTACGATTTTAGAACCTCCGAACCTCTTTCTTACGTTGACAAGTTTTAGAACCATGTATAATAAGTGTATCTACTTTATTTCTTTGGTTTTGTAAAATAGATTTTTACTCTATGGTGACTGTTTGCTGATTGACTAATATTTCTCAAGGTCACTTAAGATTCGTTCAAAGGTCGTCCATAAATTATAGTCTCGCTCGATAAATAAGTTGGAAAATAAGAGAATAACAATAGGAAACTGTAAGTTCCGAAAAGCGATTTGGAATGGATATAGTTAAATTACCGAAAGAAAAATTCATTACTTATGAGCTGGGGGTTGACTTATTACGTAGGAGTTTAGCTAGGCTGAAAGGTTAGCTCTATGGGACACATATGATCTTTATGTTTTGATAAGCCATATCTACAAAATAACAAATTTATCAAAAAAACTACCTGTATATTTCGTCCAATGGATAATCACGGTGTTACAAGTGTTACTCCAAAATCAGCCACATTATACTTGCAATTAATTAATACTAAATACAATTCGGTTAAAGAGTTAAGTTAGTAATCAAATCAATAACTGCAAAGTAGTCTGTAGATCCTCTGTTAGAAAGAAATCTGACGCATTGGCTGTTTAGGATGATGCTCAAACAAAAACAGGGGGTAAACTGTAAACCAGTGTTCAAAATTTACTGGATGATAAGACACAGATACATACTGACGGGTATTACTGTACTACTCCAAAACCTTATATTTGTTTGTGAAAAGGATACTAAGTAAGAATTCATCCTGAATGACAACGAATATCATCAAAGCCAGGATCGGAAAACAAAATCACACCACTGAAGTGATTTCTGCAAGCGACTTAAATCTTTCGAAATTACAGATAAAATCTAAAGATACGTAATGTCTTAGAAATTGAGGCTGATAGAAAGACAAAATTTCTACCGAGATTGTATGTGATGCGAATACTCGCAAAATGAGAGATGACAAACCAAAAATACAGTCAGTTTGAACTTCTTACTAGATTTTTAAAGGAAGAACCGTTGTAAGTTGTGATGTTGTTGCTTTTGTCTTTCCCACTAAGATCCCGACAATTCCGATTGAAGATCCGCTCGTAAACACTTGAGACACGAGATGAGCTGGGAAAAAGCACTTCTAGAGCCAAAAATGTTATCCTTACCATAACTTTAATCGTTTCGCGTCAGGATAAAGCGGTACGTCATCATCCAAGTCACAAACAGGGAGAGGAGCTCGGAAGCAGAACCCCGCCTCAGTTTCCTTCATTGCGCCCCAAAGGTCATGTCAAGGTTTGGAACTAATGTTTCAATATATAATCTTTCTGACGGACTGGTACCAGTCAGTTGAATTATTTTCAATAACATCATGATTCCAAAGAACAGCTCAAAGTTTGTAGCAGTATAAAGTTAAGCTAATACAACTGGTCATATCTAGCTTCAACTACGCATTCAGTTTCAATTTGGAAAGGACACGAGGTTTGATAACCTGTGTTGGTCCTGACAATGATGGTGTCTCAGTTGATCCAACTTTCTTCTGAAAGAGTCAGCGGACGGAGCTTCAACCACGTGCTGAGGTAATGAATTCCATTCGTTGATGATTCGATAGGAAAGTCGATAGTCGGCTGACAAGTAATTTGCCCTGTGCTTGTGAACTTCTTTGCAGCATCCTCGTAAGTTCTCTGCTTTGGAATACAATAAAATGATGGCATATCGGGTGCAAATTTATCACTAAGCAGTTTTAAAGCTGTAATGAAGCCACCTCCAGTTTTTCGATATGACAACGGGGATAGGATTAGCTTGGCCAGACGAGCATCATACGAGAGCTTCGCTATTCCGGAAATCAGCTTGGTTGCTGCTCTCTGAACCTTTTCCAAAAGCTTAATGTCTTTTTTAGGCAGGGGCTCGCTGCTTGTATGCATTGCTTAAGTTTAGGACGTACGAACACTGTATACAAAGTCAAAATGTTTTCAGCATCGACATGACTAAAGGACCTACGTATTGACCACAAAGTTCTAAAACCTTTGGCGGCTACTGCACGGCAGTGTGAAGTAGTCTATAAGTCTTGGATAGCGATGAATCCTAATTCATAGTGTGTCTGGACAGCAGGTAGTTTAGTGTTACTCATTGTGTATGTATCTATGCCTTGACGACCGATATGCATCACAATACACTTGGAAGTATTTATCGGCAACTGCCCAGTTTGAGACCATTCAGATAATTTATCCAGGTCATTTGGAAGTTCTAGGCTATCACCTTTACTTCGTATCGCCCTCCATATCTTTACATCGTCAGCACTGAGCAAGACCGATGATGATAGGAGACAAGAAAGGTCATTTACATACAAGGGGAGTGACACTGGCCCCAAAACTGTGCCGTGGTGCACTCCACTAAGCATAGTTTCCCAGCTAGACAACTTGGAGGTCACCCTTACTCTTTGTTGGCGCCCAACTGAGAAGTCTTTTATCCACATCAATAGATTGCCTCCAACCCCGAAATTTCCTAACTTATATAACAGCCGGTTGTGCAGAACTTTGTCAAAAACTTTGCTGAAGTCAATGTAGGCTACGTCTACATGTAGCTTTTGGTCCTTAAGAGCCTTCACGAGCCACTAATAACTTAGTGAGACAGGAATAACTTATTCTAAAACCATGCTGCTTCTCCGAAAGGATCCGGTTTTCATCGAGGTACTTAAAAGCTCCTTTCGAATAATCTTTTCTAAGATTTTAACAACCACACTAGTTATGCTAACTGGTCGGTATTTCTCAGGTTTATATTTCGTACGTGTTTTGAAGACTGGACTTACTGTGGTGATCTTCCGGTCTTTTGTTAAAGGACTCTGGGTTACGGATAGATTAAAGCGTATACTTAAAGGGTTCGCAACAAAGTTAGCCAATTCCTTCAGTAACCTAGGATGCAGCTCATCGGGTCCCGTGTACTTACCTATGTCTAGCTTATTTAGCAGACCAAAGACATCGAGTTTTTTAATGGTCTCGTTGTTCAGTGTTTGTGTGAAGGGATTTGCATGGACTGACGGGGTGTTTCTATGGTGTATATATGGCTAAAGTAGTTCGAGAATATTTGAGCTTTACCAAAGTCATCCTCCATTAATGATGAAGCAGTACTGTCTCCCCATAGTACCGGAATATTTCCTCATCCATGAACGGGGAGTTTCTCGACCCCCTTGGTGTAGTCCAAGAGATGTTGAGTGCAGTAACTTTTAATGATAAATTTCGAAATACGTCTCAAGCCGTTTCAGTTGAGGACTGTGGCTCTATTGTCTAATCTACTAACGATGCCGAGTGTATTATACCTTGTGTATTGCTTTCCAGACGTTAGGCCTGGATTGAGCTGACGCACGCTCGTGTTAAACAATTATATGGAAGTCAAAGGTTAGAATTGCATGATCAATTTTACGTAGGAGTGTCATTTAATCCAGGTTCGTAACGTCATTTTCTTAATGGGTCAATATAGGATCTAGTAAGGATAATTCAGAGTCCTGGTCGTACCTATGAAAAATAACTGACCTGGTTAGTCTTCAATTTCCCGACTACTTTATTTTGTGGAGAGGGAGGATTTTCTTTTATACCGTTATGTCGTTTCTCGCTTACGACCTGTACCCATTCATCAACCTTCGTTAGGGTAGCAAACACAGTCACGTCAAACATATTGTGTAATTTCGGAGGGTTATCGATGGCTTTGGAAGTCAGATTTTATTTCCTGCTAGAAACAGATCGATCCTTGAGATTGCGATTCCTAGGTGAGAAGTTCCACTTGTTGATAATTTGACATGAAAGTCCGTTTACAGCAATGAAGAAACTTATTCTGGACTAGCTAAGCTTTCCAGAGTATCCTTCTGATTTCACCGTTTTGGATAGCAAGAAAAGTACTGGCATGTCAAATGAGAAATCACAAATTTAAAAACTGCGGTAGTCACATTTAGTCCTTCTGTACGATAAAGGGAATATTCTTAGTTTAGCCGACCTCTCATAATAAGGCAGCGTTATGATTCTTGTAATTACCTAAGTTGTGATTTTTCGAACGTTTTGCTATAGTTTACTCCTCTGGGGGAGGCTGGGGTGGGCTACTTGTAGGCGAATTGGAGATTGGGTAAAAAAATTCTCAAAATCAATAGCTCTGTAAGTCTTCGTCATTTTATGCTGAATGCATTGGTTTTAATCGACTCAACTAGCTGAAGACGCCCGGTCACGCATTCACATCAGATCACGAGAGGCAAGCCGCGATTCACATCTCCCATGGTTGCCAACCAGCTTAGATTAGTCACTTCTCGAGTAGTTGATATCCTGTCAATTATATCTCCGAGCCTTTTCTGACTTCTGGTTTCACTGGGTCGACACGGTTTGATTACAAAGGTTGTTTCTGGTCAAGGTGTTGTCAAACTCTGAATACTTGTGGCATCCGTAACTGCACTCCAGGTTAAAAAGGTTCTGGCATCGACTTGGTCGGAGGCCCTACATAGCTACACAAGGGTACCAGAGAGTGCAGTGGTTGCCACATGGTAGTGTGTAGTAGTTTCGATTCGTGGCAAACGATGACTCATAGGTCACTATGCGTCTTCATAACCGATTAACCAAAGCTTATCATTGTGTGTGCACCTATACCTTAGTGACCAATGTGTTGTAGTTCCCTTGTATTCATTTATCACGCTTTTTGGGAGGAGCAGATTTTCTCCTACATACTTAGATATTTTCTCCCTAATTATCTTTCCTAAAATTAGAATCGCTACTCTGATTGGGCTTCCCGAACGAAAGTTCTGAGGTTTTTATCTCACATCTGTTTTAAAGACGGGACTTACTATGACATCCATACAGTCTGTCGGTAATTTACCCTGGGTTAAGGATAAATCAATAGAAAAGCTCTGATGTTATGCAGTAGAACTTGACAGTTGAGTTGATAATTTTGAGTAAAGTTCGTCATGTTTCATAGATTTTCCTTACTGTCTACGCATTTGTAAATGTGTTATTTATTTACATTTGTAAAGTAGTTTTTAAAGACATGAACTTTATCGTTGTCGTCTTCCACTGACGTTGTAGTCCGATCGTCTCTATACAATACAGTGATGACGCTGTCTCTTCTTGGTTCCCCAAGTTATATGCCAATGGACGCGCTATATATACCCTACGCCATCCTTAACAAGCTCTTCCTCAAACTTCCTTCTAGACTTATTTGTAACCAAAGCACAAACATTTGTCTTTCTAATATAAAACCTTCCTCCCAGTGCCCAGTAACCAAAGTCTCTGTCACATTTTTTTCTTTTAAAAAAACGTAACTGTTTAGATGAACACATGCGATGTATTCTATGAATGCACAGGTGACTGTCTAACTTCCTCTAGAAGGATCTGTGATCGAAACGGTCGTTCAAACTTTTCACGTGGAATCAACTCATAATGTGAGAAAAAGAGATAGAATAGGATTATTCGCTCCTTGAATAAAAGTGATTTGAGGATTATCTCATGTGTTGAAGTGATGGTCTTTGGCCAAAACTCTATTGTTAGGATGAGTCAAATACTTTACATATTGAATGCTGTTATTAGGTTTCCTCTTTCCCCTCTAATCCCTGACGTTAATCATTTTAGCTGATAAAACTAATACTCACATGACGAATTTCTTGATTTTGTCACTGTCACCAATGTCTTTACCTAGTTATAAGTGGACTTATATCACACCAGATGTGAGAATGTCCAAACATATTTGAAGTTTCGAAACGTTAGTGGATGTAAGTTTATAACTCCTCACTTTCAAGTGAGGGGTCAATTTATCACGCAATATTTAAGGACAAAGAATGAGGATATACGCTGCCACTGCCTCCTCAATATTTTTGCTTCAAGTCCTCCCCTGTCAGAGCTTGTGAATAAAACTTCACTAGGCATTGAAGAGGTGAGTAATGAAGATAAAGTAGATCACTTGCCAATAGTGTCAATGAATATAATTTGACATTTATGAGTGTGGAATTTAAAACCGTTCTTTCGCATGTTATCTTCCACTTGTTAGCACTAGACCTTTTTAAAACTCTTATTACTTCCCTAAACGTTTGCTGACTTCGTGTTTTTGACATGGATAAAACTGCTAGCATTTGATAACATATGAACTCTTGAGACATATACTTCCATCGTCGAGAGCAAATCTCATTAACTTTGATTATCTTCAGTTTATGAAGTTTGTAATTTCTCCTAACATGTGAATCAAGAGCAAATGCGTTACAAGATAGAGAGTCTTGCTGGCATGGCTGGCAAAATTTTAGAAGTTACACCTTGTACTACACCTTATGTACAGACAATATCAGAAACTTCGAACGAC